GCTCACGAGAGGAAGTGGAGATGGCGGAGAATGTGAAAAAAGATAAGGTGGAGGTTTTCAAGCGCTGTGCTGCAGAGACCAAAAGAGCAAGGTGGGAAACGTTTGTGAATGACATGGGAGGCGATAAAACATTGGGGAAATTCTGGAAACTGCAAAGGCAGATGCAAAGAAAAGATTGGCCTATGACAGTCAGAACAATTTGTAGAGACGATGGTGTGCGTGTGACAACAGACAAGGAGAAAGGGGAGGCTTTTCTCCATAGGTTTATAGCTCAGACAGATCATAATGATGTAGACATCAGGGATGCAGTTAGAAAGGAGTTGGCTGGCACCTTGGAGAATATGCATTATGAAGACATGATACAAGTGGAAGATATCAAACAAATTTTGAAAAAAGCAAAAGACACTGCACCAGGGCCTGATGGTGTCAGGTATGGTCACATTAAGGCTTTGAGCGATGTAGACCTGGCAGAGATGGCCGACTGTTTTAACCAGAGTATAAGAACAGCATCAGTACCGCAAGACTGGGTGCACAGCTATCTAATCCCACTACCAAAACCTTTTAAAGATTATTCTAAGCTTAGTGGCTTTAGAATCATCACCTTACAAAACACATTTGGGAAGGTCTTGGAAAAGATAGTTGCTGTAAAGTTACAAGAATTTTTGGAAATCGGGAAGCTTCTCCCAAGAGGTCTGGGACGTTACAGGCCAGGAAAGGACACTTGGGCAAATGCGGCCACTTTTGCTTTTGACGTCTATGAAGGGTTCCAGAACAGACAGGAAACTATGGCGGTAGGACTGGATCTCGAGGATGCTTATAAGAGAGTGAGATACGACATCTTAATGACTACACTGAGGGAGAAGGATGTCAATCCATGGCTGGTGAATTGGGTTGCAGCTGTCCTGTATTCACGTCGGGTTGCTCTCCGACTGGGCTCATGGACCTCTGAACCATGCACTTTGGCCGTAGGACTGCCACAGGGATCCGCCATATCGCCTGTGCTCTTCAACGTGTATACAAGCAAGATTGCAAGCCTAGAAGCACCAGGAGTTGGAAGGATACTGACTTTTGCGGATGATATACTTGCATATAGGCAGGGGGAAGAGAGGGAACAAACAGCCGGGGAGTTACAAGCGACAGTAGACAAAGTGACTAAGTGGTGTACAGAAATGAAGGCTGTCGTCCACCCGGAAAAGGCGTCTGTTCTGTGGTGTTCTCTGGACAACAGAATCGTTAAAACTAATGTCCCAAGTCTCACGATAGATGGTAGAGACGTCAACAGAGAGAGCAAACTGAAGTATCTGTGAATTACATTTGACAGGAACCTGTCATTTAAGGACCATGTGGAGAGTGTTGTGACGAGATGCCAAAAAGGACTTAGTGCACTTAAGACTATGGCTGTAATTGACATTGAGCAGAGAATGCTTTTCACACTATATCAGCACCTGATCCTGTCAGTGGTGGATTATGGCCTGGGACTGCTTACCGTCTCAAAGAGTCAGATGAACAAACTAGAGCGCATACAGAATGCGGCTATGTGGGTTATTCTGGGTTGCACCAGAGACACCCCAGTGGTTTGTATGCGATACATCCTTGGTTTGCCGACGGTTGCAGGTAGGCACAAGGTGACGCAGGCAAAGTCATATCTCAGGGTAGCTGCAGACACAGACCACCCTCTGCATGAAGCTCTGGGTGCAATTAAGGGTCAGCGGCTGATAAGAGGGAGGTCATGGATGGCTCAGGCAGAAGACACAATCAGACAGGTTTGCATCCTTGAGAACATTAGGCGAGGAGAAGAGTGGGTCAACGTGCCACCTCAGTCAGACTTGTGTAGAGCCATAATCACGCTGAGCCAGGAATACAGAGATTGGCCAGCAGGTACCACAGAGGTGTAAATTCAACAATTAATTCAAGATAATGCTCACTTAGAGGATTGGATCATTTACACAGATGGTTCAGTGTCAAGAGGCAAAAGAAGTGCTTGGGGCTTTTTAGCGAAAGTTAATGGTCGACGTTTGGTGTAGGAGAGCCTAGCATATGATACTACAACATCCAGCTTAAGAATGAAGGTGGAGGCGGTCACTGCAGCTTTCCGCTGGCTAGAGAACACGACACACACACACACACACACACACACACACACACACACACACACACACACATTGTAATTGTAACTGATTCAGAAAGCTTGCTAAGGAAGATCAGAACAGTTATGCTTCGTGCAGAGTGGCATGCTTCGCTGCGGAGGACACGAGTGAGGAGTATTGTCTGGGAAATGAACAGGCGGACAGACTGGTTGGCTGCACAACTTGGTGGAATACTGCTACATGATAGGGCAGACGTGGTTAGTGCCTTGTGGGGGAGCGTGTACAATGCGGAGGAGCAGATGGATCACCACAGTCTGGTGAGATTGATGCAGTTGGGGGTGACGAGAGGTTCTGGCAGAAGCTCAAGGCTCAGAGGAAAGGCAAGACGGACGTTTAATCAGAAAGCTACTGGCACCATTAGTATCGGAACTTTTCGCTGGCTGCTGAAGATGGGGACGGAGCGCTGATGGGAATGCCCCGAGTGCTGTGATGTCGGTTTTTGAATCAAATCAAATCAAATCAAATCACGTAATGCGACAAAGAAGAGTAGATGTAAATCCGGGTACTGTTCCTGTAAAACCAGTTGAAATGTAAGATTCAGCCAGTTACCAGTAAGATTTAAGGGAAGTAACAAGGGGTTGTAAATATTAATAACAAGCGAGACGGATGTGCAATCTAGTGCCATCGCTGCTGCTGAAGATGGGAACGGAGCGCTTATTAGAATGTTCCGACTACTATGATGTCGATTTTTAATTCAACAATCAAAGTACATTGATAATCACTTCCGTAAAGATTCCGTAAACCAAGGGCCTTTTCTTTTCCTACCGAACCACCATTCCCCCCCCCCCCCCTTTCCCACACCCATCCCCATGTTTTCTGTGGCTCAGGTGGCAATATAAGAGTGTAAAACTATTAGATCATATAATTGCGACTGTCTCTCCATTATCTCCAAGACATCACCATTATTGCTAATTGTATTTCCGTCTGGCGTTGAAGATCATGCTACACCACATCTTGAGATCTTTATCATGTTTCAGCTTTTTCTCACACCCTTCTATGCCATGGCACAACGATGTCAACAATCTCTCGTTATTCCTTGTGTTGTTGTTTTTGTTGCTTTTTGTTTGCTCTTTATCTCTTTAATTTACACCCCGACACACACACACAAAATAATTAGACTATTTATTACGGCCAAAGCAGAGAAAAGCAGTAACATTACAAGAATGATCATAAATAAATAATCATTTAGGACCATAAACGAAGTTGCCATTAAAATCACACCTGTTATTAGATTATTTGAAAAACAAAGACCGAAATGGTTTGGCCATCTGATCAAAATGGACCCAGCATTACTGGTTGCAAGAGCACGCGACATGAGAAGGGAAACAACAAGATACAGAGAAAGGCCGAGAAAAACATGGATAGATGGATTCAACAAATTGCTGAAACTCAACAATATGCCATGCGCTTCGTATTTGGTGCATGTTAGTAGGTAATGCTAACAAGCGTTGACTACCCAATCAAAAGCTTTGCCTGCGACGCCCAACAGCATTGAAAAGAGAAAGACAATCGAAGAAATAGGATGGTCAAAGCAAAAAAGCTATCCACGAAGCAAAGTATGTCTTCTAAAATGACACCATCTATCTATGATCTACGCACTGTCGTCAGGGCAACAGACTCATAACTTTGTTTAGCTAGTGAAAATTACGTTGTTACCTGTGCAGCATGGCGTCAATAATGAACATTACTTATGTTTCAAAGTCAGAAAAGAGTTCTTGAGACAGTTGAATTGATTAGATAAGTTTGAGGATCAATGTTCATCTCGTGCATAAGACTGTTTTCACGATTCAAAACAGACTCGGAAAAGAATTAAGTCGCAGCTGGGTCGGGACGTCCGATTTCTGTTAGTAATGATAAACTCATTGTTTAAGTAAGTGTCAAAGACAACCGATACACGAAGACTGATTTCTGACTGTGAGGATGATGACAGATGAATTTGATGTTGAATTTGATCAACGCTATTCTTCATAAACCATATATTGTTAAATATGATTACATGCGTTCCCCAGTGTGGATTGCAGTGTTTCATTGCGTGTGTTCATGGAAAAGGGGGTTGGGGGGGGGGGGGGGGGAGAGAGAGTTGAACGACTGCCTCTCTAACAAGCATATCTTAAGTGCCGACTAAACAGGGATTTCTTTCAAAGTCGGACTACATCTACCTGAGAAACCAGGAACCATTAGTCTCATGCAAATACATCATATCTGTTAACCGGATGTTCACGCAAGTCTCAAGTTCTGGAACAAGATTAAATCCAGAAGTGGCCGGACAAGAACTTTCTGCCGGAGTTTACAGCCAGTGAAGACAAAGAGGATATATTTTGTATATTATTCCAAAAATATTTTTTTGATAATTTACCACTGAGCACTTTTATTATTATTATTACTACTATTATTATTATTATTATTATTATTATAAAACATTTAAACACGCTAGCCTGCGGATCGTATCGGTAACAGGTGGGTGAGGTGATCAACATTTCGTCAGCTGCCTTTACTTCCCATGAGTTTGCTTGGTACCCAATTAAGGCTGAGTCGACTGGGAGCCTAAGCCATTTCTGAAGAAAAAAAAGTATGACTCGGTCAGGTCCCGAACCCACGATCTTCAGATCGGCAGACGAGTGTCTAGCCGCTAAACCACCGCAACTTCACTTGAAAAGGCACGTCTGAAGGCGTGGAAAACGAGTCCTTTACTTTTTTACTTTACAAAACACTTAAACAAAGCGTATACCCCTCGACATTTGCAAGAGAGCTCAGTTTCCCTCCACCAAGTGTTTCTTTGTGCACCACTGGGCACCAATGACTGCATCCTTTACTCTCGTACAGAGTTACATCAGAATCAGACAACGGTTCATCATGCAGTGCTACACCCGAGCTCACCGATACCCAAGAACAACATCCATGTATGATTACCGAGCGCCGCCATTGAGCGCCTACAAAAAGCGGCAATTCTTTCGACCGGAACCAGACAAGATTGGCAGGCCTTGGTGCCCTGACGGGGTCAAGATGCCGGCCCCATGGGAGCACATTGTAAGATTTAGCAAAGTGTAATAATTCTGTAAAAATCTTTGTGTTGAAAATGTGAATTGTTTCGATTTCATTTAGTTATATTATAGCACTTAGTAGTTGTTTAGGTAGCAATAATAGTTCAGGAGCAGCAGCAGCAGCGTTTAGTGTAGACGTAGCAACAGCAGCAGCACCAGTAGCAGCAGCACCAGTAGCGTTTAGTGTAGTAGTAGCAACAGCAGCAGCAGTAGCAGAGTTAAGTGTAGATGAGTATTAGTTGTAGGCAGAGGAGAAGGAAGTGTGGATATTGGGGAGGATGCAAAGGAGAAGAGAAAGGTGGAATAACATAAGAGGAGAAAGTGGAGGAGGAGGAGGAAGAAGAAGAAGAAGAAGAAGAAGAAGAAGAAGAAGAAGAAGAAGAAGAAGAAGAAGAAGAAGAAGAAGAAGAAGAAGAAGAAGAAGAAGAAGAAGAAGAAGAAGAAGAAGAAGAAGAAGAAGAAGAAGAAGTAGAAGAAGAAAGAGAAGAAAGAGAAGAAAGAGAAGAAAGAGAAGAAAGAGAAGAAAGAGAAGAAGAAGAAGAAGAAGAAGAAGAAGAAGAAGAAGAAGAAGAAGAAGAAGAAGAAGAAGAAGAAGAAGAAGAAGAAGAAGAAGAAGAAGAAGAAGAAGAAGAAGAAGAAGAAGAAGAAGAAGAAGAAGAAGAAGAAGAAGAAGAAGAAGAAGAAGAAGAAGAAGAAAAAGAAGAAGAAAGAGAAGAAAGAGAAGAAAGAGAAGAAAAAGAAGAAAGAGAAGAAAAAGAAGAAAGAGAAGAAAGAGAAGAAAAAGAAGAAAGAGAAGAAGAAGAAGAAGAAGAAGAAGAAGAAGAAGAAGAAGAAGAAGAAGAAGAAGAAGAAGAAGAAGAAGAAGAAGAAGAAGAAGAAGAAGAAGAAGAAGAAGAAGAAGAAGAAGAAGAAGAAGAAGAAGAAGAAGAAGAAGAAAGAATGAAAGAAAGAAAGAAAAAATAAAAGTAGAAAGAAGCAAACCAAGAAAAAAGGAGGAGAATAATAATAATAATAATAATGATACTAGAGATAACAAATGCGAGTCTTTTGCAGAAGCGAATCCAGTATAACCCGGTTAACGAGCTGCACCGAGAGAAGCACATGGACGAGATGATACCATTCATGAGTGAGCCTGTTTTATCATCACCATCATCATCATCAACAACAACATTTGAACCGTCGTCATCAGCACCATTATCGTAAACAACAACATTATCAGCATCTAAGTGTCTATGCCAGCAGCATTGAAACAAATAAATGCTGCTCACAGAAGGTGCCAGTACTGCGTACGGTTTCGTGTCTCCAGGAGACAAAAATCCCTGATTATCATTCTCATCATTATCATCATGTTGTTCAGCGACATCATCATCACCAACATTAGTATTAGCATTATAATGGCTGTTCCCCCCCCCCTCCCTCCCCCCTTCTTTTTTTTTTCTTCCTTAATCTTTAAACTTTGTGGGCACACATTGTTTACAAGCCATCATTATCTAACCCTCGTTGGTCCGTTGTATGTCATATAGGACCCGCAATGTATTCTTCCAGTAGTCTTGTATCTTTGGCTTCTCTCCTCAGGTAATCGGAGTCCCAACTTCATAGCAATACCCCAGGGGGCTTAGTTGTCTTGAGGCATGGTGTCCCCTCGAGTGCTAGAGGTTCTGGGCTCAATCCCCGGTAAGGGCTGAGATTTGTTAACGTGGACTTGGACTTCTAGTAATTCCCCTTGGTCTCTAGGTAGTGTTATCTGACGCCCGTGTGCATTTTTGAGCACGTACAAAATCCCATGGCAGTTGGAAATCGAAAAGAGTAGCCTAAAATCTAACGGCAAACGTTAGAGATACCTAAAAGTATTTCTAGATCCTCGCCGGAGCCTGTACACTGTGCTGAGTTTGTTTGGACTCAGACTTGAGTTAGAAGAAGAACGCTGCACTTATAGGTTACCACCCGTGTTCCATGATGTTGATCTGTTGTTCAAACCTCAAACCTCAAGCAGTACCCTATTGTTCCTTTGCCAAGGAAAACCACACAAAAAAAAAAAAAAGCTGACGTAGACTGCAGACTTAGCGAAGTCTATAGCATTAAATGCAAAAGGCCGCCTTCAGAAGTGCAAACACAACAGAATGGCACTAGAAATGAAGTAAATTGTTGATAGAAGCAGCAGTTACAACAGATTAATAGCTGCACATACAATTAATCGTCTATGACATCATTTGAGCCTCGCCGTTTTCTGCATTTTTATTTCACAACACCGTTCAGCACATTTCACAGCATTGTATGTTAAATCCGCAGCTCACAGTGTCTTAGACTCTTTTCAACTTTCTCCTCACGGTTTCTTGTAAGCGTCTTCGCCTCCTCAATCGGTGTCCTATTTCAGTGCCTGTTTGGAGATTCTCAATTCGCTTCTTCTCATGATGTGCCCCAGATAATTACTATCTTCTTTGTCTTTTAACTGTTGCAACAAACGGTCATCCAGAAATGTCTCCTTTCCCCGTGTGGGTTCCGGGGCCCCATTGTAGGGGAAAACAAGAATAGACCCACTGCCTCCCCAAAAGTATGTCGTAAGAGTCGACTAACTGGTGAGCTTCCTTTGAAGTCGGAGTGCATCTGCCGGAGAGGCAAGGAACCAACAGTCTGTATTCAAGAGAATGAGATCTGTAAAACTGATGCACACGCAACACTCAGGTTCTGGAGCAGGACTACAGTTCAGTAGTTGAAGAACAACCAGAACTTCCCACCAGAGTGTACAGCTGGTGAACGCGAAGAAGAAGAAGAAGAAGAAGAAGAAGAAGAAGAAGAAGAAGAAGAAGAAGAAGAAGAAGAAGAAGAAGAAGAAGAAGAAGAAGAAGAAGAAGAAGAAGAAAGAAGAAGAAGAAGAAGAAGAAGAAGAAGAAGAAGAAGAAGAAGAAGAAGAAGAAGAAGAAGAAGAAGAAGAAGAAGAAGAAGAAGAAGAAGAAGAAGAAGAAGAAGAAGAAGAAGAAGAAGAAGAAGAAGAAGAAGAAGAAGAAGAAGAAGAAGAAGAAGAAGAAGAAGAAGAAGAGAAGAAGAAGAAGAAGAAGAAGAAGAAGAAGAAGAAGAAGAAGAAGAAGAAGAAGAAGAAGAAGAAGAAGAAGAAGAAGAAGAAGAAGAAGAAGAAGAAGAAGAAGAAGAAGAAGAAGAAGAAGAAGAAGAAGAAGAAAGAAGAAGAAAAAGAAGAAGAAGAAGAAGAAGAAGAAGAAGAAGAAGAAGAAGAAGAAGAAGAAGAAGAAGAAGAAGAAGAAGAAGAAGAAGAAGAAGAAGAAGAAGAAGAAAGAAGAAGAAGAAGAAGAAGAAGAAGAAGAAGAAGAAGAAGAAGAAGAAGAAGAAGAAGAAGAAGAAGAAGAAGAAGAAGAAGAAGAAGAAGAAGAAGAAGAAGAAGAAGAAGAAGAAGAAGAAGAAGAAGAAGAAGAAGAAGAAGAAGAAGAAGAAGAAAAAGAAGAAGAAGAAGAAGAAGAAGAAGAAGAAGAAGAAGAAGAAGAAGAAGAAGAAGAAGAAGAAGAAGAAGAAGAAGAAGAAGAAGAAGAAGAAGAAGAAGAAGAAGAAGAAGAAGAAGAAGAAGAAGAAAGAAATGTCTCAAATTTCTTCATCTTCCTTGGTTTCGTTTAGTTGAAATCTCCACGCAATATTCTTGGAATACTTTCAGTTTTTTTTTTTTTTTTTTGATGTTTGATGTCGGCGTCTGTGGCTCAAGAGTTGCGAACGCGCTTTGTATTGCTGGGATGCCAGATTTGGTAGCAAACCGCATTGCGTTGATTTCGACAGTGGTATCGAGAGCCCGACCGACCAGTGGAAAAGGCAAACTACTGAACGTAGATTTGCCTAGAAAACCCTCAACAGCCACATAATTGTGGGGTTGGTTCTGTAACGTTCTGTAAAGGATACACAACAAATATAATGATGTTTAATTTTATGATTTTACCATAGAGTGTGTACGAGACTGTGTGTAGGAGAATGTTTGTCCGTTGGTGTGTGACAAAATGTGAGAAAGTGAAAGCCAGAGAGTGAAAAAAAGGTGGGGCGTGCTGGGAGGCAGCAGCAGACAGACATAGACAGACATGAACATAGACAGACGGACAAAAAAGCAAGAAGATGGGCAAGCACAACATACCTATTTCACTTTTCATCGCAGATAAAACTAATTGGACCTGTGGCCAAGACATGCAGAATTTTGGCAGCAGAAAGACCAAAGTGGCAGATTCGAAGAAATATTCTTTGCAGAGTAGCTACCGCGCCCACTATCCTGGTTACTGGCTAGGGATCGAACCCAGGAGAAACCCTGGCCGTTTTGCGAGACCCGGAATAGGTTAGTGGGATCCAGTTTCTAACTTTTAACCATTTATGGTTATTTTCAAACACTTTAGATATAGTATATACTTATTATGGCATTTCACGCAGGGGTGTTTTTGCCTTTGATTTCCCTATGTATTTCCCGAAGAATGCGCTATACTAATCTATACTATACCATGCTATACTATACCATACTATACTATATCATAATATACTATACTATACTATAAATAATTTACCAAATTACTAAATTATTATAAATAGATAAAGGACAATTTTTCACGCCTATAAGCGTATATGGCATATAGGGCTAGAGCAGTGTTTCCCAACTTTGTGTGTGTGTGTGCCATGCCTCACCTAAGCCTTTCAAAAATTATTATGCCCACTTATATACAATCAAATTGCCCTCCTGTTGAATGTGGGCCACAGGTTGGGAAACACTGGGCTATACCTACACTTTATAGACCAATCAGCACTTCGTAGATGATGTGGTCAGCATCACGCCGACCGCCTTTACTTCCTAGAACTTAACTATTATTAGCATTGTTGTTAACCGTTAAACGTTACTTCCATCTCATAGCTTGAGGTTAATTCTTCCATTCCTTCTATTCTGTGCATTGGTTTCAATTTAATGGATAGAATCCAGTCTAGCGTCTTTAGCCTCTCTCATCAAGTCTGCTTAGGGTTTATCTTGATCTTCTTCTTCTTCTTCTTCCTCTTCTTCTTCTTCTTCTTCTTCTTCTTCTTCTTCTTCTTCTTCTTCTTCTTCTTCTTCTTCTTCTTCTTCTTCTTCTTCTTCTTCTTCTTCTTCTTCTTCTTCTTCTTCTTCTTCTTCTTCTTCTTCTTCTTCTTCTTCTTCTTCTTCTTCTTCTTCTTCTTCTTCTTCTTCTTCTTCTTCTTCTTCTTCTTCTTAGCATTCGCCGGCTTAATCTCCGGCAGAAAGTTCTGACTGTTCATTCACTTCTGGACTTTTATACTTGTTCCAGAATTTGAGTTTTGCGAGAACATCACTATTAGAGATGTGGCGTATTTTTTCACAGGGTGGGTCGCCAGTGAGTCTGTCTCTCCTCCTCCCCCAAAACAGACTACCAGACTACTACCAGACAATGGAATACAGTTATCTTGTGTGTCTTATAAGAGTTGATTACAGCGGTTGTCCACACAGTTCTTGTATTTCTTCGCCTTGCTCAGATTCATTGAATTTAATGTTTAGCAGTTCTCTTTTATCCTTCAAGGCCTTTGCTTTCAAACTGCATTTTATTGTCTTCTATGTCTTGTCTGGTTTTCCAACTTTCACTAGCATATGCCGAAGTTGAAATACCATTAGAATTTTAAAAAGCGTAACTTGGTTTTAAAATAACAAGGCGGTTTCAAGTGAAAACTTGTTGATATAAATTACAGTAACCGTGCTATAGTCTTGTAGCCTGTAAATGTTGTTGTTCAGGATGTGAAAAGTGTTTAGCACGTGACGTCATCGAGCAGACAAACATGACGACTTTATAATAACAGTTCAAAGATGGCCGCCCTACTTTTGACATGCCTACAAGAAATGAATGGGTTAAGACTATACAAATTCACAGACAGGTAAAGGTTTAGTATGAAGATGCATGCCTGTGAGTCCAGTAAATGTTTGGGTGGAGTAGAAAGTTTCAAAACAGTGTGACATCTGTGAAAGACTGTTCAAGACCCGGTTCTGCCATGGCTGTCTCCAGTAAGGGCCATGGGGCGGATGACGTCAGCTTGACGTGACGTCACCACCCCAGGCTAACGATACGTCTCGCTTTTGCTCTGACAGCCCCCCTTTTTATCGGTGTGTTTCCGGCCGTCCCTTGAGAACTGCCCACACAAATTTATAGTAATAAGCTCGAGAATAGAACATGTCCATAAATATATTCACATATACTTACTAAAAGGGTAAACTAGAGAAAAATATGCTAATATTAATTAATTAGTATATCTTACACAGTTGATAGACTCAAATAATCTAACATATAATTTTTGTGAATAGACAAAATAGAAAGAACAACAGAGAAACAAAAAGTACAACAGCAACTATTTACATTTAAGCTGGTAAATATCCATTGTGTATCCATATAATCAGCTGACAGTTAGTGAGTGAACTTAGCCAACTTTCTTTTCTTGGATGATTTATCCTTCTTTTGCTCCCAGTATATTTGCAGTATTCTTTTTGTCCACCAAGTATGTTCGCAATATACTTATTGTCCACCTAGTAAATTCGCAATACTTTTCTTGTCTATCTAGTATATTCGCAATATTCTTCTTGCCCTTCCAGTCGGTCATGGTCAGGAACAGCAAGTTCAAATGCATAGCACAATTATATTGGCACACCTGCTATTACAAGAGCCCAGTGTTCTCAACAGTTTGGTCAGCCACTCCACTCTAGTCTCGTTATTAAAGAAAAGCAAATTACACCATCGATAATTTTGTATAATTCACAAAAATATTTAAATGCCATTGCCATCAACAGTGCCTGAACTGCTCAGTGTTCGTCCATACGTAAAACCTGAATGCCATCCTCTGATTGTGAAGCCCAACGTTCCTTGGGAGCTACCTGTGGATGACCCGAATGTATCGTGTGGACGTGTGACTGTACCTCATTATATCCTCGAGCCTTACCCGGGACCACAGGTGCCAGTTCATCTTCGCAAGGAACCGCCCAAGGTCGAAACTGTTGATAGAATGGGACTTGTTGAATAGGCATCTTTTGAAAATGTAATAAAGAATGTTGGTAATGGCGGAAAAGGAAAAGATGACAAAATGCGTGTGTTATGTTACGTTTATCGTTAGTCTAGGTACCAAAATTACAACAGACCGCTCGCCCCATAATGATTCCATTCCTGCGCCAAACAGTTCACACAAAATGCTCTTGACTGTCCCTTTTTAAAGCTAGTGAAAAACGTTTTAGTGCTAGCAAAATCTGGAAGCTTAGCACAATTTGGAAGCTTCCACACTCAAAGTAGCAATGCATAAGGCAGCTATTAGATGTGCCAAAACTAATGGTCCCACACCAGAAGTGCAGCTCACTGTTGACGTAAACCACAGCCTTCTCTAGATAAATAGAGAAGGCCGTGACGTAAACCAACCACGGTTTTGGTGCAGTCAGCAACACGCTGCAGTTACAACAAGGACCTAACCACTTTTGCTTCATCATGCATCATTATTCCACCAGTTTTATCTGCCTATTCATTTCCCACCACACCAGCATGCGCGGAGTAAAGATCCAGATATTTCTCCTCACACATTACCTCTGAAACGAAGCATGCCACTCTGCACGAAGCATACCTGTCCTCGCCTTCCTCGGCATGCTTTCTGAGTTAGGTACAATCATGATAGATGTGCGTGTATGCACGCCAGCACGCGCGTGTGTGTCGTGTCGTGTTCTCTTACCAGCGGAAAGCTGCAATGACCGCCTCCATCTCCTTTCTTAAGTTAGGTTTTTTCGTATCAACTACTAGGCTCTCCGCACCAAACGTCGACTAATAGCTTTTTCTAAAAACCGCCAAGCACTTCTTTTGCCTCTTGACACTGCACCGTCTGTATTAATAATGACATCTTCTGAGCGATGATTATCTTTAATTAATTATTCAAATTTCCACTTATGTGGCACCTGCTGGCCACTCTCTGCACTCCCGGCTCAATGTGATTATTACGCTAAACAAATCTGTCCGTTCCGCTGGCACTCTGACCTACTCCTCACCTCCCCTAATATTCTCCGGGATGCACTGATTGTGTCTTCTGCCTGAGCCATTCATGACTTCCTTCTTATCAGCCACTGACCCTTAACTGAGTCTAGAGCTTCGTGCAAAGGGGAATTTGTGCCTACATCTACTCTGAGGTATGACTTCGACTGCAGCACCCTGAGCCAGCCTGCAGCAGTCGGCAAACCAAGGACATATCGCATACAACCCAGACTGACACGCATAGCTGGGTTCTGTATGCCATCTAGTTTAACCATCTGACTCTTTGAGTCAGAAAGCAGTCCTAGTCCATAATCAATCGCTAAAAGGATCAGGTACAGAACTAGTTTGAAAAGCATTCTTTGCTCTGTGTCTATTACAGCCATAATCTTAAGAGCATTGACTTTTTATTCCTCAATGTCTTAACTGGCAAGCTCCTGTCAAATTTACTCCCAAATACTTCAGTTTGCTCTATCTGTTGCGTTTCTATCATCTATCGTGAGACCTAAAAACATCAGCTACAATAATCCTCTTGTCTGTTCCCTGCCTATATGCTAGTATATCATAGGCAAATGTCTGTATCCTTCCAACTCCAGGTGCTTTTAGGCTTGCAGTCTTATTCGCATACAAGCTTACGAGCATAGGCGAAATGGCAGTCCTGTGGAAACGATGCGTAGTTCTGAGCTCCATGAATCCAGACGGAGAGCAACCCGACTAGGATACAGGATAGCTACAATCTTATTCACTAAGCAAGGCCCGACCTCCTTCTCCACCAGTGCGGTCATCAAAATGTCGTATCCTACTCTATTATAGGCATTCTTGAGATCCAGCTCAGCCGCCATCGTTTCCTGTCTGTGTCTGTTCTGGAACCGTTCTTAAGACATCTAAGGCAACGGTGGCTGCATATGACCATGAATCTTTTCCTGGCCTGTAGCTTCCCAGATCTCTTGGAAAAAGTTTCCACTTTTCTGAAAATTCTTGCAGCTTTACAGCGATTATCTTCTCCAAGTAACGGCCACATCCCCTAATCACTTTTAAAACTATCAATACATGGAATAAAAGATAAACTCCTAAGGAAGTTAACGAACATTAGATGGGAGGATTTGCTAAAAATGTTAAAGAAAACAAGGATAAATAACAACCACTGGTATCAACAGCTAAAGGACAAAGCAGATTGTAATATGTTGAGCACATCCTGAAGAGAATCTTGCAGAGAATCACGAAACATGCACTGAAATGGGAACAAAATGGACAGAGAAATAAAGAACGTCCAAGAGAAATCCTGCCTTGAAAAGTTAGTCAAAAAGGTCGAAGGTGCTGGACTGTATTTCATCAACGATGTCCACAAGATTTGTACATGTTGTAATGAAATAGAGTAATCGGCTGAAACCCGTAATGGCCGTAGACGTAAAAAATGAAGATGGTGAAGACGAGTATGGTGATGATGCTTCAAAATATGCTAATGTTGATGTTAATGATGTCAAATACAGTATGACCTCCGCATTTCCGTCATGCCTCTTCGCTGAATGTATGTGTATATATATATATATATATATATATATATATATATATATATATATATATATATATATATATATTAGTTTAGTTGCGTATCCTTTACAGGACGTTGCAGAACCAACCCCAGCACTTTCTGGCTGTTGTAGTTTTTTTAGGCAAATTTACGTCCAGTAGTTTGCCATTTCCCACTGGACGGTCAGCTCTCGGTACTAGGGTCGAAACCATCACAAGACAAACCGTCCGCAGGAGGGATCGAACCCGGCACCCCGACATTACGAAACGCGTTTGCAACGCCTAAGCCACAGACGCCGACGTGTATATATATATATATAGGACCCTTTACTAAGCCTTCAGGCGTATGTTGCATATAGGACTAGACCTATAGTTTATAGACAAAATGGCACTTGGTGGGTGATGTAGAAAACATCACGCCTGCCGCCTTCACTTCACAGGACTGCACCTGGAACCCACAAAAGGCTGGGTCGACCAGGAAGCCAAGGTTTTTTTTTTTTTAAACAGTTTGGCTCCAACAGAATGTGAATCAGCGACCTTCTGATCCGCAGGCGAGCGTCTGGCCGCTGCATCAAAGTGACTTCCATACATATATAAATATTAAAGGATGTCCATTTGTGTAAATGGACACATTCTCAACATACACTAATGGCGTTATAAATAGACATAGTATTCTTTGATTTAGAAGTAGACACTTGCATCATGGAGCAATGCTTGGAAAAAAGGTTTATTAGCCATACAGAATATTCACACATTGATAAATTGCTTCAAGATTCATGTTTATAAATGGCTACAGTATTCGTGCAATTAATAATGGATACAGCATTCAGTTATTCATAGACTATATTTAAAGTTATAAATGGACCATATACTCACATAGTTATTACCAAACAAAATCTTGAAAGCAAAATTTTAAAAAATGTCCATGCAACTATAAACTGGGAGAGAACTAAGAAAATTCCACTGGATTAAGAGGTGAAGAAAAGACGCCGGCGTTGGATAGGACACTTGTTGAGAAAACCTGATAACAATATAATTAGAATGTTGAACCCATAGGGGCATAGAAATAAAGGATAGCACTATGGAGAAGGGAGCTAGAGCGTGAAGTTAAAATGATGGGGAGCACATAGAATGAGACGCATGCAATAGCGAATGATAGAAAGACTTGGCGTGAGTTGGTTAAGGGCCTTTGCTCCATAGGGAGACAGTAGGCAGAAGAATCACAAATTGGCATGATTCTGAAAGTGGTATTAGTGTCGTGCACGCATAGATAAAACGCAGCAGAGAATTTACAAAAATGTTGGAAATTTACAACATATCGAATGCACTGACGAAGAACAAAGATACTCGGCACGCTAGCTAATTTATGTAAGGTAACATATTAAGCGGTGCCTGTGCAGAATAGGGGGAATTAAATGGTATGTTAGAATAAATAATATAGAGCTTTGGGAGAAAACTAAACAGGCTCCAGTGGACCAAGAGGTGAGGAAAAGACGCTGCCGTTGGATAGAACACACGCTGAGAAAACAGGAGAACATCATGACTAGAATGTCTTTGCATTGGGACCCACAGGGGCATAGGAATGAAGGAAGGCCAAAAAACACATGGAGAAGAGAGCTGGAGAATGATGTTTGAAGGATGGGGAGGACATAGGGAGAAAACCATATAATGGCGAAGGGTAGAGCGACTTGGCCTGAGTTGGTTGAGGGCCTATGCTTTATTGGGGACTAGAAAGGCAGAAAATTAAGAAACATAGAAATGTCTGTATGTGTGTACTAAAGAACCTATTTCATGTCATTTGGGAATCAAACATATAATTGACCCTGTTCCACGCCTTCATCCATGTTGGGCCGCATCGAGATACCAGCTAAGTGATTTTGTGTATCTTTGTAGTATTGTTTAATTTGTATGTGCTGATGAAGGCCCAATAGCAGCAACATTCACGTTTTGTTTGTATTTGTTATATTGTGAAGCTTACCAATGTACTTTTCGTTTAGGTTAATATCTTTTCTTCATCCATATTGGGCACATAGAGCATATAGGGCTAGACCTATATTTTATAGATCTATCGCCAGTCAGTGAATGATTTGGTTAACGTCAGGCCGGCCGCATTTACTTTCCATTAATATGGCAGGTACGTATTGAATGCTGGGTCGACCTGGGGGTCAATGTCAATTTTGAAGGGGAGAGACAAACTACATTCATAACCGCTATACCACGGCGGTTCCCTTTTATCGCGCCTATGCTGCTGGGTAAAACAAATGTCTAATACACCGAAAACACTCTATTAGTTAAATAGTCAACATCACACTAGCATCTATGATGATAATGGTTTGGTGGTAGTCATGATGATGGTGATGTTGATGACAGTGATGATGATGACGGTAATAATGATGACGGTGATGATGGTATCGGTGATGATGATATCATATCAAACTCAGCTTTTAAAATAAAGTGATTTTTTGTGTGAAACGCTTATAGTATAAGAAATACGTTGATGGAACCCTCATGTTTAATACTAGCTGTCTGAGAGTTGGTTCTTGTAAAAGTCTCCATGGAAGGAGAAGTTGACTTTGATGCTGGAGGGCACAACTGCTCTGCCAATCTCTTTGAAAGTGGACGCATCTAGAACCAGCAGGTAGGAGCTCTCACTCGCGTTGCGGGCCATAATTGTACTTAAAATAACACCTGAAATATGGGAAGGTAATTAGTTATTTTGTGTCGTTTGCTTGTGAAATGTCTTCTCTCTCTCTCTCTCTCTCTCTCTCTCTCTCTCTCTCTCTCTCTCTCTCTCTCTCTCTCTCTCTCTCTCTCTCTCTCTCTCTCTCTCTCTCTCTCTCTCTCTCATTCTTTCTCGTGAGTTCTCTCTAACTAATTCTCTATCGTGATATATATCTCACACTCTATTTCGCCTTCTCCCTGCCTCGCTTTCTCGCTTTTTTTCTCACCTTCTGTCTAAATGTATCTTTCACGTGGACTTACCAGATCCATTAGAATAATACATGTATGCACTCACTATCAGGTAGGTAACTAGGCAGAAAGGTGGGTAACTGTGTAGACAGGTGTAAGTATAGACAGGTAGGTAACTAGGTAGGCAGGTGTAAATATAGACAGGTAGGTAGCTGGGTAGACAACTGTTAATAAAACAGATAGCTAACAGGTAGACAGGTATGAGTGCAGACAGGTAAATTGGTTAGACAACTGGTAATAAAACAGATAGCTAACAGGTAGACAGGTATGAGTGCAGACAGGTAGATACCTAGGTAGACGGGTATGGCGATAGACAGGTAGATAACTAGGCATACAGGCATAAAGATAAGTAGATGACTAGGTAGACATGTATAACAAGAGAAGCACATAGCCAAGTAGAGACGATAAAAACATACAGGTAGGTAACTAGGTAGACAGGTGCAGAGGAGGACAAATATGTGAGTAAGTAGAATGGTATGAAGACAGAAAGGTGTGTAAATAAGTAGAAAGAAATGAAGTCTTGTAGGAAATTAGCTAGAAAGGTAATAATGTACACTATTAGGTTAGTAGATAGGTATGATATTAGGATGCGGGTTGATATTTAGGTCGCAGGCCCGTGGGGTTGGTGGAAGGGGGTGGGGGGTACATTTATAGTGTGTTCGAAAAATCTTGCCTAACTTTTAAAACAAATATGTAACTCATTAACTTATTTGTATAAATTTGATGAGATTTGGCATGCAACCTTGAAGGACAATAATTATGTGTTGGTTATGTATATATTAAACTTTTTTTTTTTTTTTTTTTTTTTTTTTTTTTTTTTTTTTTTTTTTTTTTTTTTTTGCAGTATATGAAGGGGAAAAAACAGACACCAATTCAAAGCATAAACTTGGCATCTTTACGGTTAATATGGTGCCGCGATCTTTTTTTTTTTTTTTCTTTCCTCGAGGTATTTGTTAAAGTCGAAGGCACAACTTTTGGAACGCACTATAGGCAGGCAGACAGGCGGGTAAGTAAGTCATAGCAAATCAGAAATAAATATAAGCACATATAACATGTATACCATCGTCCTCCTTTTCTGCATTTGGCGACTTGACAAACACAGGTTCCCCGGGTGAGTGGCCGTCTCCGCATCTCCAGTCTAGCACTTGCTTTGTGACGAGGTCGAATTTCACCAGCTAAGAAAGAGCGAGATAACAAATGCAGTTTAGAAACATTGGTAGAGTTCACCCAGTAGACGTGCCGGAACCTGGGAGCTTAGACACATTGACTCCTTCCCTAAAGGTTTTTTTTTTTTTTTCTGGAAACCATCTAGAAACAATTGAAATCAACCGGTTCGAACCCCCAGGAAGTCAGCTTGGTGCAGCGGCTGGTCGCTAGCCCGTGGATCTGAAGGTGATGGATGCAGGTCCTGACGGAGCCGGACTTGGCTCCCACATCGACCCAGCCTTATATATGTACCATTTAATGGGTACCAAGTAAATCACTGGGAAGTATAGGTGGCCACATCACCCCGCCAAGAGCCGATTGGTCTATGAAACATAAGTTTTGCCCTATATACCTAATAGACTTGAAAGCATGGGAATGGGTCCATGATTTTACTTAATCGACCCCAGATCAATACTGAGGTCGGAAGCATTCTGCTCTTTCTGAGGAATGAACCAACACCATTATCTCCGCAGAAAGGGGCACTAACCACTGGGTTTAGTGTGGCAAGATTAGTAAAGTAAGGTAAATTAACATTTTCACATTCGCGAGGAAAAAATGTGGCGTTAAAGCTTAATCTTACGAGAGGTCTGGCAAGCCTATAGAAGATTTAATTATCTACACAGTGATATTCAAGGAATACGCCTGGTATATTTGTAGAATGTATAGGATGTAACTGTCTACACGGTGGTATTCAAAGGAGACGAATGGCACACCTGTAGAATGTGAAAGATCTAAATGTCTACACAGTCGTATTTAAGGGCAAATTTCTAGAATGTAAAGAATATAACTGTCTACACGGTGGTATTAAAAAGGAGACGACTAAATGACCTAATTGTCTACACAGTCGTATTTAAGGGGGAATGCCTGGCACATTTGTAGAATGTAGAAGATGTAACTGTCTCTATAATAATCCGTTATCCCCTTGTGCAATTTTTCGTTATTTTGAAGCCACGCCCTGGCTCGTGTCAAGGGCCGCAATATAGTCTAGCCATAAATGTGGTCTAATGGCTGAATGCGGTTTCCGGGACCTCTCCACGGGTGATCCTCATCCACATGTTGGCACCTTGTGTCATCTGGTGTTTATCACGTGTGATGTCCTGGTGGGGTAAAATCTACTACTACTACTACTACTACTACTACTACTACTACTACTACTACTACTACTACTACTACTACTACTACTACTACTAATACTACTACTACTACTAATGTTACTGTCTACACCTTGTTTTGTTTTTAAGGTGGCATTCCCTACAAAGGAAAAAACAAAAGAAAAAAATCGAAAGCACTTTTAACACGAATTTGGACAAAACATACATGAAATAACAGGAGGAGGAGAAAAAGAGGAAGAAGAAAAAGAAGAAGAAGAAGAAGAAGAAGAAGAAGAAGAAGAAGAAGAAGAAGAAGAAGAAGAAGAAGAAGAAGAAGAAGAAGAAGAAGAAGAAGAAGAAGAAGAAGAAGAAGAAGAAGAAGAAGAAGAAGAAGAAGAAGAAGAAGAATTTATTAGACATATGGTGCTAGAGGGATATATTTATAGATTAGTCGCTACTTATATAGTGATGTCAACATTACACCAGCCACTTTTACATCCCCGATGCTAACGTATAATGCGTTGCTTCGTACAGAAACAGTCAAAGTGAAACTTACCCTGGCTAAGTCTGTGTTGAAGATGGAGCACCCGTAGACGTATCTGTAGTTTCTGGTGTTATATTCGCTGTTGATCCGAGGGAGATCAAAGTACACGTCATCTAAAATTATAAATTTGACGGTTTAACAATAATCAGTTCATAGTCCACTTTTCGTATAGAATTAAATGATACTTGTCTGAAGCAAGTTACAGAATTTAAATATCTAGGAAGTATATTCTCACACCATGGGGGAATAAAAACAAGATGTTAACGAGCCAGTGCATTAATACAACAACTGACCGTCGTTATCAAGACCTTCAAATTTAAGTTTGACTAACAGGTTATAAACAGGTATAAACATGTTAGAAACAGGTTATACACAGCCTATGATACCAACACTTAATACAACAACTGTCGCTTGTTATCAAGACCTTCGAATTTAGGTATGACTAACAGGTTATAAACGGGCTAGAAACAGGTTAGAAACAGGTTAGACACAGTCTATGATACTAACATTGTGCTCATCACCATCATCATGTGCCTTGCCGACTGGTGTGGGCGATCATGCCTCTCCATAATCTGCGATCTCCTGCAGCATGTATCAATTTGTGTGCCGACACATCTCCAAGCCATGCAACAAGACTGTAAAGCATCTTGTCTCGCTGTCTTCCTCTATCCCTCCTTTCGCAGATCTTTCCAGTGGCCACAACATGTTCGATGTTCCATTTTGCCGAAAAATGTTGACTGTTTTCTTCTGATGTCTGTGATAAGTTGTTTTCGGGCTCACGCTCTTTGAAAACCTCTTGGCTGTCCAAAGTTTTTTAAGCATTCTTTTATAAAACCATATCTCTGAGGCCTTAGAAATTATTTGGCCTGCCTACCTACTGTCCAGGATTCACAACCATATGTTAAAACTGGATATATGTAGCAAGCAAGAATTCTTTTTTTAACCTTCACTGACAGAGATATATTGCATAAGAATAGGATGTTCTTTGTTTTAAAAAATGCAGTTTTTGCCTGTTAGAGTCGAGTGAAGATCAATTTTCAAAACCCGCCTTTATAAGGAACGGAACTTATGACAAACAATACCAGCAACACTCATTTCAAACCCACAGATATCAGAACTAAGAGAACTGGACCATACTAGCAAAGAACCGGAATATCAGGTGTGACTACACACCACAAATAAAAGGAAACCAAATAAGACAGCCAATTAACCTTCTTTCATATAACAGGCCTCCGGGCAGCTGAAAAAGGAACAAAATTTTGAATTTTTGTTGGACAACTGGAATTGGAATGACAAACAATATGCTAAGAATACAATTGAATTAATGCTGAAAGGATCACGTACCAAAGAATGTAAAGTCTCTGAGAACATCAACAACATTTTTGTCGTTTTGTCGAAGTGTGGCTTTGGCACCTGATGTAGGCAATGCTACCAGATTCTCTCCATTCTTTACCTGCAAGCAAAAATGTAACGAGACAAAAAATTATGAATTTATTATTTTTGTTTTTGTTTTGGCTGTGTTTTTAATATTAGAGAAAGGGAGACAGAACTAGATAGTTTAGGAGGGGAAAGCGAAGGAGAAAATTAGAAAGGACTAGAGAGGAAGAGAGAGAGAGAGAGAGAGAGAGAGAGAGAGAGAGAGAGAGAGAGAGAGAGAGAGAGAGAGAGAGAGAGAGAGAGAGAGAGAGAGACTGAAAAGCTCTTGAGGATCGATAGAGAAAAAGACTTAGAAAGAGCTAGCCAGAGTCTGCGTGAGCATGCGAGCGTGCAAGATAGACAGAAGGTGTGCAAAATAACAAGAGAAAGAAAGAAAGAAAGAAAGAATGAAAGAAAGAAAGAAAGAAAAAAGAAAGAAAGAAAGAAAGAAAGAAAGAAAGAAAGAAAGAAAGAAAGAAAGAAAGAAAGAAAGAAAGAAAGAAAGAAAGAAAGAAAGAAAGAAAGAAAGAAAGAAAGAAAGAAAGAAAGAAAGAAAGAAAGAAAGAAAAAAGGAAAGAAAGAGAGAGAGAGAGAGATAGAATCATCTAAAGCTAAGGTGTTGCGAACACGCTTCATTATACCGAGGTAGCTGGTTTGACTTTAGCTGCTGGTGATTTGACAGCAGACCGCGTTGCGCTGTTTCTACAATGGTATTGAGAGTCGACCGTTTAGTTTGCATTAGCAAACTAAGGAATGTGAAATTTCCTTGGAGAAACTAAACACCCATAAAATGGATGCAAGGATTGGTTCTATACACACTCATGCACACACATGCACACACACACACACACACACACACACACACACACACACATTCCTTCTTCTTCTTCTTCATTGCGTTCACCAGCTGTAAACTCTGGTGAAAAGTTCTGGTTGTTCGTCCACTTCTGGACTGTGGTCCTGTTCCAGAACCTGAGAGTTGCGTGTGCATCCGTTTGACAGATCTGACACATTTGTGTGTAGACTGTTGGTTCCTTGCCTCTCCGGCAGATGCACTGCGACTTTGAAGGAACCTTCCAATTAGTCGACTCTTACAACATGCTTTTAGGTATGCAGTGGGTCTATTCTTGTTGTCCCTATAATAGGGCCCACACTGGGGACACACATATATGTGTGTGTGTGTGTGTGTGTATATATATATATATATATATATACATAAAACACTAGAGAACAGTGATCAGCATGTGTGAGGGTTAACAGCTAACGATAACACTGGAGAAGGTATCACGTGATATGTTCCTCTTCATCGCTTTGCTGTTGAGAGTATTCGTGTACAGCTAGCATTGTCGTACTAGTAACTGAAAGCTTGCACACATTACAGATTGTACATGCGTGGTGTAAGCATGCAGAAAGCGTACTTTGTAATAAATAGTGAACAGTGATATGAAATAGTAAAACAAGACATCTTTCTTAGGTAATGGACAGTGCAAGCAGGTATACGTCCGGTACATGCACGCGTCGCCACGGTTATAGAAGGAGTATGATCGCTACACTCGATGGCTAATCGCTTGTTGATGAGAGTAATGATACTGATAATGTAGAGAACGGGATAACGACAGCAAGAACGATAAAGATGTTGCTTCTGTTGCTGCTACCGGAATTCCTGTTTGTTGTGATAGTGTTGTTGTTATTGTTGCTGCTACCGATGGCGTTGATGATGATGATTATAATAATGGTAGTAGAGTGCTACTGCAGCTGGTGATGATGATGATGATGTTCTGGTAATGATGATGATGCAGGTGGTTGTGTTTTTTTTTTTTTTCCTGCTATTTAGGCTTTTGTTGCTGATGATATGTTCGATGAAAATTCTGGGGTTTTTAAGGATGGGTTACTGCAGCCGATAAAGAGGAGGATGATACTACTGCTACTGTTGGTGTTAAAGAGGAAGTTCATGAAGAAAGTTGGAATAAGACCGCGCCTGAATTATAATGACAGATAAGGAATGGAATTGTTCGGCCATCTAGTGAGAATGCAGCCAGACCAATGGACACGTGGGCATTTTGTCAGCAGAACATCTGAGAGGACAAAAAGGGGAAGACAAGAAAGAGATAGATAATTGGTGTATTTGAAACCTGCAAAAATGTGCATGGGTCCCCCACCCTAGCCAGCCGAGAATGGCAAGATTAACACAGAATACCACGACACAGAGGTACAGCCTGGTATCAGTGAGACGACAACAGAAGAGGAATTTTAAAACACCTTCAAATATAATCAAACTCTCAACCTACCTCATTCAGCCTGAGCGGCAACACAAAGCGACCAAACCTCCCCTTGAAAGGAATCTTATTCTGCTGCCTGTTGAGAATCTCGTCCAGATAAAAGTCTTTGACCACTTGACCGCTGTCGTAGAGGCACACATCACAAATGATACATCCGTCCTCCTCGTAACAGTTGATAAAGTGGAATACAAAGCCGTGAGGTGCATAGTAGGTGATGGGAATTCTCTCTCCTGTGATTTTGTTGAGTATGTGGATCTTGATCTGTGGATTGGTGAAAGAGTCTTTCCTTTTGAGTCTAAGGCGGCGCATAGGGTAGAGGGTCATAGCTCTCCATGTCTGGCGGTTCGTTGCTACCCGTTTTGTCTTGTATGTTTGTTAGGCCCATGGTTGAGCCTTCCCTGATCATGGTTCTACACAAGGTCTCTCTTGGTCATCTCGGTTTTCTTGTTCCTATCATATAAGGGTTTGATGGGGGGGGGGGGGGTATACTTGTCTTATACATCCTAACTGCATGGCCAATGTTGTTCCAGCGCTACAGAACACTCAACATGTAATATAGACATGATCTCTACATAGAAAGATCCCAGGTTTAGCCGGTTGGCATTCCAATACAAAATATAATTCTAACTTGCAGAGTCCGGGGCGACAGCACTAGCCATGCCACATTAAAGCCTCATGCTCAAAGACCCCCACACCCACCACCCCCCCCCCCTCCCTTTTTTTTACACCTCAAAAGGGAAATAATAAAGGAAGTAAATGAAACTTTTTGGCGTTCCAATGGAGACCTAGCTGTTTGGAACATGGAAGATAAGTTTCGTACCACAGACTTTATAGAGGTCTTTGGGCTTTTTATCTGAAAACCATTGGCAGGAGGAAGAAAAGAGGAAAGAAGAAGAGGATTAGGGAAGTCGCTAATAAGGTAATGCCTCCTTCAGGAGTGGAATCATCTTGTGGGTTACGGGGCCTCGTGATTTAAGGGGGAAGTGGAGGGGAGGGGGTAGATTTACTGCTCCTTGACCAGCAATCATGGGAGGCAGCTGATTACGGATGTTTGCTTCAAAGTCGCATCTTTCATGGAAGCGAGGAACAAAAGTCTGCATACAAATAAGTCAGATGTGAAAGATAGAGCTTCATGCAAAACTTAGGTTAAAGAACATTACTTAAGTCCAGAACTGGACGAACAAACAGAACTTACTGCTGAAATTAACATCTGGTAAACTCTCAGAAGAAGAATGCATATAGCAACTCAGCCTGGTTCAGACTTCAGGTTCCTTCCTAACCGCCGGGGATCCCCAGTATAAGCTTAAGGGTGAACGGGGCTTACCGGGATTTGTACCTGTGAGATTCTCATCTCTGAGGTGTTACCATGCGGACTGCAATCCTAGAGGGGACAAACTGTATTGAAATGAACAAAATTCGTGCTAAAAAGGCTCCATAAATACATTGTTACAATAAATCTTATTTTTTTAGGTCTAGAGATGTATTGGGCATATAGGACAACTCATTTTTTAAAAGACCAGATGGCCACTAAGGGGTGATACGACCAACATTGTGTCTCTAATTGCCAGGACATATCCTTCTTCCCACTTGAGGGTTGGTAATCCCGGGAGACCAAAAACATTTCGATACAATAGGCCTCATTGCATGTATGAACCCATGACCACCAGGCCAGCAAGCAAGCGTCTGACCACAGAGCTGCGGCCAGGTCTCCTGGGGGGGGGGGGTGGGGGGCGGGATCTCCAGGGTCAAACCGTTTGCCTCTAGCAGGGTGGAGGGTGTATTTTATGGACGCGTCGTTTAGTTTACGAAAAGTTAGTTGCGTATCCTTTACAGGACGTTGCAGAACCAACCCTAACAGCCCCTGGCTGTTGTGTGGTTTCTCTTGGCAAATTTACGTCCAGTAGTTTGCCATTGCTTTCTGGACAGTCGGCTTTCTTGATACCACTGTCGAAACCAACGCAAGGCGCATTGCCCGCAACTGGGATCGAACCCGGCATCCCGGCATTTCGAAGCGAAGCGTTCGCATCGACTTAGCCACAGAGCCGACAGTTTACGAAAGCACTTTTCAAAAGTGATCCATAGAGATAAAAGAAGGTTGCCACTGCTTACTAAACAGTCGGTTAAAATACCACTGTAGAAACCAACGCAAGGTGGTCTGCTGACGAATCGTTCACAGATAGGATCAAACCTAGCACACTGGAATTACGAAATGCGTTTTCAAACAGCCAGTCAGGTGCCGTCTCCATTATAAAGGCTGGCTATACTTGGAACTCCAAAACACTATTTATTTCATTCTGAGTGCACACTCTCAGACTGCCACTATTTGTCCGTCTCACGCTGTGTACCTCTTGCTCTCTTTAACCCCACTCCCCCTCCCCCCAACCCACCCCCTTCTTTATGGTCTAGTTCTTTTACAAAAAATACTTTAGCAACAACAACAAAAAACACGCACAAGAACGACAATGTACCGGCTCATCCGGATAGTTCTTCATGGTGGATTCAATAGTATCTCTGCTCATTCCTACAGTGAAAACCTTTAGACTGTTGAAGGCCGTGGGCAACTCAAAGTACACAATGTAGTTCTTGGTGAGGCCAAAGGAATGTGTGTACCCGATGTGGATTTTCCATCTGCTCTCTATGCTGCCAATGAACTGTGCAGTCATGAATGGGTTCGCTGGATGGAATAAGCAGATGAGGGAATGAGCGAGTGAGTAAGTGTGTGTGTGAGGAAGTGAGTGAGTGAGTGAGTGAGTGAGTGAGTGAGTGAGTGAGTGAGTGAGTGAGTGAGTGAGTGAGTGAGTGAGTGAGTGAGTGAGTGAGTGAGTGAGTGAGTGAGTGAGTGAGTGAGTGAGTGAGTGAGTGAGTGAGTGAGTGAGTGAGTGAGTGAGTGAGTGAGTGAGTGAGTGAGTGAGTGAGTGAGTGAGTGAGTGAGTGAGTGAGTGAGTGAGTGAGTGAGTGAGGGAGTGAGTGAGTGAGTGAGCTAGTTAGGCAGTCAGTCAGTCAGTTTGTTGGTTAGTTAGTCAGTCAGTCAGTTAGTTAGTTAGACAGTCAGTCAGTCAGTCACTCAATCAGTCAGTCAGTCAATTAGTTAGTTACTTAGTTATTAAAGACCACTTTTTACGCCTTAGGCGCATCGTGCATATGAGAAGAGCACCCATATTTTTACAGACCAATCGGCACTAGGTGGGTAATGTGGTCAGCATTACGCCTGCCGTCTTTACTTCCTCAGGACATACATCCTAGTACACATTTAAGGCTGGGTCGACCTACAATATCCCATACCATGATAAAAATTCACGCAGCCAGCATTGGGTTTCGATCGCAGTTCTATGGAATTACGAATCGGACTCGCAACGCCTAAGCCACAGACGCCGCTTAATGACATATTATTATGAATTAAATATTTCAGTTTTAAAACTGAGACATTCTGATCACAGATTCACGCCCTAATACCGACCTTTCTTCACAACTGTTGACTGACCGACAGACGTTCAATCCAACCAGGACATAACACCAAGCGTTTAACTACCGATGACACAAAGTGCCGCCATGTGGATGAGGATCACCCGGGGACAGGGTTCCAGAAACCCGTTCAACGCATAGGTTGGGTTCTATTAGGGCCACCGGCAACAGCCAGGGTGGGGCTTCAAAACACAAACAAAACTGGGTCTGACACTGGGACGCAGTACTGGGAGTATCACAACCTTCAAAGTACCGAACTGCACTGCACGTATCTTCTAGTATCCTTTAGGGTTATTAAAATTATAACTATCTTAGAGATTGAACATGCTATACCCTATTGAGTTGTCATCCCATGACGCGACTTTTGACACACCTCCAAACCTTTAACTGAAAAGAGAAGATTCTGCCTACATCGTCCGTCATGTCATGTCACAAAGTAAAGTTCCCTTTTCACGCATTTTAGGCGTATCGGGTATATGGGAAGAGCGCCTCTATTTTTACAGTCCATCGGCACTAGGTGGGTAATGTGGTCAGCATTACGCCGGCCGTCTTTACCTCCACACGGCAGCCATCCTGGTACCCATTTTAGGCTGGGTCGACCTGCAACGCTCCATACCATGATAAAAATCAACACAGCCAGTTGTGGGTTTCGATCGCGGTACGCTTGAATTACGAGTCGGACTCGCAACGCCTAAGCCACGGATGCCACCATGTGATCATGATAACTGAAAGAAAAAAAAAATGGCGATTTTCAAAATTGTTATAATTATTTTAAAATCGACTGTACTCACTTTCACCAGGTGGTATTTTAGCCGGGACTCTGAAGAACTTGAAAGCTTTGGAGTAATTTGCCAGGTAGGTGCCAACATAAATCATGTTTCCGTCGTCTGGGTCAACATGGGGGTGAGCAGTGCCCATATGTAGCACAGCACTCTCTCCGATGTCAATCTTCGAGCGTTAAATATATGTATTTGATTCACAGCTACTCTACCTCATAACATCAACATCCTTATATCACTATCATCCTTATCTTCTTAATCACTATCTTTATTATCATCATTTTCATCATCATCAGCCTCTTATCTTGTCATTATAGAGCTTACAGTCTAGTTCTCCATTTCTTGTTACCCCTGCAAATGCTCGAATATCATAGCTGAATCAAGTCTAACACCATAGGCCCAATCAGCGTCGTGTTAGGAATGGTTTTATTTAAACGGTCCCTTTTCTACTCCTTCAGGTGTATTGGGCATAAAGGGCTAGACCTATATTGTATAGAGCAGTCTGCACATAGTGGGTGATGTAGTCATCAGTACGGCCGCCTCTACTTCCCAGGACTTTAACTCCTTCCCATTTAAGGCTGGGTCAACCCAGGAGACGAAATAATTTTCTTTTAAAAAGTCCACCTCCATCAGGAGCTGAAATCACACCTTTTGGATCCACAAGCGAGCGTTTAGCCGCTACACCACGGCGGCTCCATAATGGCTTTATTTTATTTACAAGCGTATAAAATTAAATATGACCCCCTTCAATTGTGAAAACCCGTTTAATTCGGGCCCAAACCTAGTGGTACCTAAGCCAGGTGCACCATGCGTTCTTCTGTGCAAAAAAAAAAAAAAAATGTATAAACCTGAACAGAGCAAAGAACGGACATCAAAATCTTCAGGACATTCCCATGAGCGTTCATCTTTAGCAGTCACAGCAAAGTTTCAATGTTAACGGTAGCAGTTTGATTATATATTCGCCTTGTCTTTCCTCTGAGTGTTGTTTTCACGCCTCATTCTGCCTAGATCGTAATGATCTATTCACTTGCTCTCAAAAGGCATTGAATAACACCTAGATTTCCATGCAACTATTCTTCACCTCACTAGGTGGTGCTGATCCAGCCAGTCAGTCAATTTGCTCATTTCCCAACACACCTGCACGTCGCTGAGAAATTAACCACAACGACGCTAACAGGGATACTGACTGATGCCATATTTCTCAGCTTTGACAGTCTAAATTTAAACGTAAGGTAAATTAAACGGTGCTAATTCACAGTGGTTTGAGGATTATTAGGCCACTAGGCTCTTAAGGAAGAGACCCTAGTTCGAATTCTTGGAAACGTTATAGGGTTTTTTTTTCCTGTTGGAGGTAAAAATAAAATCCTAGCCTACACAATTCATGACGAAAGCACTAGCCACGCTTATGGACAGTTTATATATCATCATATCAGTTCTCGTTATGCCTAGTGGCACATGAGGCTTCAGAGAGGACTTTCCATGCTTTCCTGTCCTGTGCAATCTTCAGTGCAGTTTTCCATGTCAAAGATGCCGCACTCAGGTCACTTTCCATCGTTCGTCTCTAGAGGCCATTACCTTGTAGTGGTGGGGGAGCTCGAGAGCCTCAATGATCTAATGAGCTATGCCCGCGGGAACGTATGTTCCTGGCAGGGTCACCCAAGCCGGACAGGTCATTTGTGATGGGCCAGACTAAAGATGGCCTCCCGGTCCTCCAGGCTCCGGGGTTGGGCGCAGTGTTGACAGCTCTGCCCTGTAAAAAAATCTACAACGTTACTGAAACTTCAAGAGGAAATAAGTGCTCAAACGTCCGGTTGTCTTGGGACAGAGTCCCTCTGTCAGCATGAACTTCTTCTTCTTTTGTCAAAAGCTGCTTGTGCCGCTAGGCGTCGCAGTCTATCAGATGATCGGCAACCGAGCCAGGGCGCGCTCAGTCGCTTCATATGCAGTGATGTTATGAAGTCTCAAGTTGTCCGTGACTCCTCAAATCCATATTCTTCTTGGTCTTCCTCTGCCTCTTGGTGTTTCGATTTTCATGTTGTATGCTCTTGATGCTGGCATCGTTGGTTCCATTCTCATTAGGTGACCAAACCATTTCATTCTTTGCTTCTCGATAAATTTAACGATGGGTATGGTTCCAATAGTTCTTGTAATCACATCGTTTCTCACTCGATCTCTTCTGGTTTTATTCGCAGCCATTCTCAAACATCTAATTTCACAGGTGGTTAGTCTTCTCTCGTGTTCATGTCAGCATGAACAACATGGGTAAAAGCCGAAAGGAAGCCCATGATGGGAAAACAAGTCTGCTGGATATCAAAACCAAATTATGGACAGTTTACAAGTTCGAAAACATTAGAACAATAAACGCCAAAGGAACGTGATGAAACGTGAAGGAATGGGATAAACTCATGAAAGTCGAATCAATAAGATAAATGTCTGGACAACCTCTTGCATCAACAATTGTAAGAAAAGACTGCAATGTATTGGATACTTACTGAGGAGAAGACAACAGGGAAATGTCTTCTAACAGGCACTGGGTGAATGGATTTTTTTTTGGGGGGGGGGGGGGGAGGGGGGGGGGGGGGGCGACAACAAAGACGCCAAAAAGTTGAGAGTCGATTAAAGGGGCTTAAAATGCTTGACTGGACTCCATCCATAATATTGAAACAAGTGCATAGGATAGAAGGGACAAAAAGAATAAACTACAAGCTCTATGTACACAACATATGATGATGATGAGTTTACAAAGAGACTGACTGGTTGTCTTACCGTTTCATTTCGTAGCAAGGACTTTGGATTGACTTCTTGCAAAACAACGCTCTCCGTGAGGGCAAAAAATTTATCCGCAAATTTGATAATGTTCACATTTGTGTTATCCTTAGCTGACACCGGCAACGGGAAAAAACTCGTGGCATGTCTGTGGAAAAATTGTACTGAAGTTAGTTTCCTTGACCCTTTGGGTAGCGGTAAAGTAAACACTTTTCATTAGATCCCAATGTTTTGGGTTTGAATCAGTATTAGATTGGATTATTTATATTTGACCTAGTGCTTCGAGATATTTTCGTTTTTCTGTTTTGATATGCACAGTATTATATAAACTTAACATGCTTTATTGATAAAATGTAACTGCTGTGTGAAAGAAGGGTGTTTGGAATGGCCGAATGTAAGACTCGACTGCGTGCCATGTAACCCTTTGGAAACAGAGTTTGTAACCTGCTCACAAAGCACTGTTTGAAAAGGTGGAGACCGGTATGCTCCTTGAAGAGTTGCAAACATCGCTTCAGAGGTCCAGGGCAGTTAGTGTCCTTTGATTATTGTCTCCATAAATGCCGGTGTATTCGGATAATGAACAGGCAGATAGACTTGATGGTTCTGCACTACTTGGTGGGGAACTGATGCATGGCAATATAAATGTTGTAAGGATTCTTGGAGGGGGCGGGGAGAGTAAACAGTGCGGAGGCACAGATGGATCATCGCGGTCTGAGAAAAATGGTGCTGCCAGGATTGACTTGGGGATTTTGTCGACGATCAACACCGAAGAAAAAGGTGAGACAGAAACACAATCAGTTACTGGTGCCATCTGAATTGGAAACTCTGCGCTTGCTGCTGAAGATGGGGACATGGCGCTTATGTGATTGTCCAGACTTCTGTGTTTTCGACTCTTAATTATTCATTGAACATTAAAAAAGATGATCTGTATCCGAACTAGGGCACATTCGGTTGGCCAGTATGATGTGATGTGGAATCTCAAGCTGGATACCTAAAACTGAAAATTAAAACAAAACGTTGCTCTCTTTCTTTTGCATATGCTTATAAATGTCTTTCCTGTTTATCTTTTTCTTTTCTTTTTCTGCATCAACTTTTTTTTTCCATTCTATAGTAACCATCATTGTTATCATCATCATATTTTTATTATTAGTATGTTTTTTAGTTTTCTTATTCTTCTTCTTCTTCTTCTTCTTCTTCTTCTTCTTCTTCTCCCCCCCCCCCTCCTCGTTCTCCCCTCCACAACCTAAAGTTAAGGATTGCTAAAATGTCTTTGCAACCACCACGCCAAAGACGCCGACGTAGGTTTTAGTATACTGGGCTTGAAGGTTGTGCAGGTCAACAGAATAAATAAAATCTGCCCTAAAATTTCCTTAGTCTACACGACTGGTCACGTTTTCTCTCCATTTCTTTTAATAACGCACTCAAGTGTGTTGAGGCGCATGACTAACGATTTTTTTACAGCGTGTCTTTCATGTAGAGAACCTTTATCTTTTTGTTTCTATGTGTTTCTTCCTTTATAAGAATGTCAATCAATATTTTGCTTTATTTTTTACTCAAACGTGACCTGGCCTTTTCATTCATGACCTCCTTAAAAGATAATAGTTTTAAAGATATTGTGCCCCTCCCCCGATTTATTACCCTTAACTATATCTAGTGTTATTACTGTAAAGAAATGTATGTATAATTAGAGCATATCCCAGCAACTGTGACTAAGAATTTCATGTTGATAATGTGTATTATTTTTATGGTAGCTGATGTATGAATGAAATCATGTATGTATGGAGTGAGACCAAAGAGGCAGAATATAATACGGGCCTGCGTGCCCAGTTCTCAAATTTTAAAAAATAAAGTTCCCTTGTCTGTATTTCACATAACAACACCGGTCGTAAAATTCACAGAGGTGAATCCACTTCTGGTGTTTCTTATGTTATCAACGTTTCCCTAATTTTGCACTGTTTATTTTAAGATTAATGGTTTTTTTTTTTTTTTTTTTTTTTTAAATCATCATTATCATTTTCTTCTTATTATTATTTTCCTCCTGGAAGTCAAGTTATTAAATCCACACCGGTCGGAATCTACACCTTAAGACATTTGCAGCGGAAGACAGAGCTTCTGCTGATATGCCCGGAGTGCTAAGATGTCGATTCTGAAATTAGTAATTAAGCATAGGCCCTTGAAAAACTGACACCTGGCTCCTTGTAGCTTGTTTATTATTGATTAAACTGTTCGCCTTGTGGTTTCCTAGGCTAATTTTTTACGGGAAGAGAGTAAACCTGCTGGCCCCTAATAAGTACGTCGTAAAGAGCAATTAATTGCTGAAATAGGATGTGCTCGGCCAAATAGGGGCTGATGATGATGATATGATGATAATGATGAAGATAATAATGATGATGAAGATATCGATTACAGTACTCACGCATTAAAAATCGTCCTACAAGGGTCTGGAAAATACGTTCCGAAAGCAGAGCCAGCAATTTTATTCAGCTTCTGTGATTTCCTATATGATTCTGTGTCCAGAACAGAGGACTGAAAAGATACCTCCCCATCTTTGATTGTCCATCGTGAGAGAACGGCAAATCCATCAAATACATGCTTGAACTGGGTGTTGCCAATCTTGAAAACACCACTCCCGTTTCTGTATAATGAGCCAGTTAGCCATTTCGGTATAGTTCCTATGCATTTGGGGAATGGAAAGGGATTTTAGGTTACATGCGTTATGCAGATACTCCATTGAGTAAAACAAGTGCATAACTAAGAAACTTATCATACAGCATTTTCAACAAACTAGTTTTGAAGGGTTACATTGTAAACCTTTCGGGCACACAGTGAGTGATGATGTAAATGTGACGTCGGTGAATAAGTACATTCCTCTTCTTCTTCGGCGGTGGCGATGGCTGCTCCTGCTGCAATTATTACTACTAATTATTCCTCTTTTCTGTCCTTGGTCCGCTTCTTCTTCTTCTTCTTTTTCTTCTTCTTCTTCTTCTTCTTCTTCTTCTTCTTCTTCTTCTTCTTCTTCTTCTTCTTCTTCTTCTTCTTCTTCTTCTTCTTCTTCTTCTTCTTCTTCTTCTTCTTCTTCTTCTTCTTCTTCTTCTTCTTCTTCTTCTTCTTCTTCTTCTTCTTCTTCTTCTTCTTCTTCTTCGCCACTTCTTCTTCTCCTCCTCCTCATTATCCTCCTTTTCTTCTCTCTTCCTCTTCTTTCTCTTTCTTTTTCTGTTTTCTCCTCGATTCCTTCGTTCTACTTATCCTCCCCACCAATTCCTTCTTTTTCTGTTCTTCGCCTACTTTTTCCTCTTCCTTTGATTTATTATTGTTATTATTTATCACCATCATCATCATAATTTTTTTCTGTGCTGAATGGCAAATGAATATAATAATATATTTGACATTATGTGAAATATATGAATAAATGTTTAAAATAAGGATGTCAGTACTTCTATAAGTTGTGGGAGGGAAAGGGTTCAGCCCCCCCCCCTCCCCCACCCCATCAACCCTACAGCCTTTGAAAAAAAATGTGGGTGGGATGGAGGCACTAATGTGTTGGAACCCCCAGGTTCTGGCACCCATGATGCAACTTTTAACGAAGTTATAAATAGGGGCACCCAAAACGGATGTACCAGCCCAGTGTACCTGCAATCCCGTGCGGGCAGGGACAGTAACTGTCGATTCCTTTCTGTCATCTGCGAGTTGTGCAGCATAGTGGCCACTTTACAGGGTGTTGGAGCTGGTTCACGCCCAATCCTCGTCTGTTCTCATTCAGGCTTGGGACCAACAATGACCCCTCCCCCGTCCCCCAGACATCGCTGTCTTATACTGCCCTTCAAAAGTAGTAAATAAATGTAGTCATTCCAAGTAAGTAGAGCATTATTTCTCATTGTTGACTCATATGGTATATGTTGCCCTAAATATTCCCCAATCTACACAACGGGTCACGTTTTCTCCATTTTTTATATAATGCACACAAGTATGTCAATGCGCATGACTAACAATTTTCATTCACAGAGTGTCTTTCACACAAATAACCTTCATATTTTGGTTTCGATTTGTTTCTTCTGTTAACGGAAAAATGCTCATACATTATTTTAGTTTACTTTTTTATTTTTTTTTTAATTCTCCGGGTAGGCAAACATCTAGCCACTGTGCCATGGCGACTACCGTTTGCAGTAAAGACAGTCTTGCTTACCTTGTATCTGGAGTTGAACCGGGTCCTTCAGCGTGGCTGAGCTATCTAAGGTAAAATAAGCTGGCCATGAGTTGTCTGGAGACGGCTCTTCGGGTCCTGGGACACGTTGCTTTGTCTTGGTGCTCATTCTCCTCGCTTGTTGCAGTCTGTAGCTATTGATCCTAGTGGATCTAACAACATAGACAATATTTATTATAGTCATAGACAGACAGGCTGGTTGGTATATAGGCAGGTACATAAGCGGACGATCAGACAGATGGACATACAGGCCGATGGATGGACAGACAATTAATTAAACCGGTTAGGGAAGTAGGCGGAAAGAGTAAGTGTAAGGAGCAGAAAAACAGAAAATTACAGACAAAGGGAAAGAGACAGAGTAAGTTAGAGATAGGTGGACAGAAACTGACAGTCAAACACGGAGCCAGAGAGAGAGAGAGAGAGAGAGAGAGAGAGAGAGAGAGAGAGAGAGAGAGAGAGAGAGAGAGAGAGAGAGAGAGAGAGAGAGAGAGAGAGAGAGAATCAGAGACAAGCAAACATTGACAGATACACAGACAGGCAGAATACACAAGTAAAAAAGATATAACTGTTTCCATTCTTTGAAGCGAAAATTTAGTATTATAAAAACCATTTCCTAAGCACAAATACAATCTTACAAACAAAACCTTCTAGCATTAAAACATAGCCTTGTCACAAACAACATCTTCTACGAAAACACAATTTTATATCCAACAGCGCTATATGGGAAATTACCGCACGTGACGAACTGAACGCTTGCCAACATTCGAACTGAATCGCTATTTTTAAGACTTGTTTCTAAGAACGCCCGCTTTCTGTAAAATCACCAGCCATAACAACCTGCAGGGGTTTTCATTCTGTCATTCTACAAGCACTACCTCAGTCAGGGGGTAGAGGCCTCTTTAGGAGGGAGGGGGGGAGCTCAGGTGCATCTAGAGACCCCCCCCCCCCCCCCAACCACCGACCCAACCTAAAAACTAAAAGTTAAATTTCAAGGAAGACGTAGCTACTATTCTTCCTTTCCTCAGAAAATATGCTACATGGTTTTCTCTAGCGAAGTTGGTTAAACCTGACGTTCGCGGCGGCCGGGTGACGAACTCCTTGTGGTCCAGGTTCACTCCCGGGGGTAGGCAGAAAAGCCACATTTCTCCCAGATTAACGGTACCTATAATGGAATCAAGGCCGAAGGGTTGCGATATCCATAGTACCGAGCTAAAGGGTTTACAACTCATGGTTTCTGGATACGTAAAAAAAAAAAAAAAGCGAACTCGCTCCAATAATTTTCGTCTCTTTTTATGAATTTGTGTATTCATTTCATATAATTTCTAATATAATATTGTTCTTAATGACTATTCAGCACATGATTATGATGTTGATAAAATCAGTTTGATCGAATCCTTATTATTGAACTCTTAAACTACACAGGAATATTCAGGCTTCCGGTCACTATCTTTCTACTTCTTTCTACGAGAGCCGATAATACACTTTCTGTTACTTGATTAATTCATAAAGAATTAAAAGCAGAGTCCTGAGGCCCCACGCTCCCTTTCCCCTTTGGTTTCTTAGTGGCGGTGCCCTTAACCTGAGTATACTGGTTGTCAATCAGTTGGCGTTCATAGCCCTCTTGTTTTGAAAACTTATTTGGGAGAGAAACTATATCAGCAAGGCTTTGTGTTTATCGGCTAGGACCTTCTATGTAGCCATTGAGTCAGAACGAACTTGTTTATGTGACCTGGGGTTCTTTTGATTGTGAACCTAATAGATTATGAGAAATACATATCCTTTCTTTTTTCTCTCCTCCTCCTCTCACTTCTTCGTCGTCTTATTTTTCTTATTCTTCTTTTTTCTTCTTCTTTTCTTTATCTTCTCTTTCTTCTTATCCTTTTTCTTCTATTTAATTTTTTCTTTTCGTTTCTTCTCCTTTTTTCTTTATTTCTTCTTCTGCTTCTTCTTCTTCTTCTTCATTTTCTTCTTCTTCTTCTTCTTTTTCTTCTTCTTCTTTTTCTTCTTCTTCTTATTATTATTATTTCTTCCTATTTCTCTTCTTCTTCTTCTTCTTCTTCTTCTTCTTCTTCTTCTTCTTCTTCTTCTTCTTCTTCTTCTTTTTGTTTCTTCTTCTTTTTTTGTTTTCTTCTTGTTCTTGTTGTGGTTGTTGTTGTTGTTGTTGTTGTTGTTCTTCTTCTTATTCTTCTTCTTCTTCTTTTACTTCTTTTTCTTTCTTCTTCTTCTTGTTTCTTTTTCTTTTTGTTTCTTCTTCTTCTTGTTTTTTCTTGTTCTTCTTCTTGTTCTTCTTCTTCTTTTTCTTCTTCTTCTTCTTCTTCTTCTTCTTCTTCTTCTTCTTCTTCTTCTTCTTCTTCTTCTTCTTCTTCTTCTTCTTCTTCTTCTTCTTGTTCTTCTTCTTCTTTTTTTTCTACTTCTTCTTTTTCTTCTTCTTATGTGTCCGTCCTCGGTAAAAATCGGTTGACGTGTTGTGTTGATGATTACAGCTAACGCACTGCGATATCTGCGACTTTCTGCCCAACCCATTTGATTGATGTGGTTTGGGGTAAGGGGGCCGTCCAGGAGTGGGCTTAAGGGACATAATCGCCCATGTTTCAACGCCTATGAGTCAAGGTCAATTTAAAAACAAGTATTGCCCCTTATCTAAGCGGATATAATCCCGCTGTTGGTATTTTCTTAGAAAGAAACACAGCGTGACAAAGTGTGACCTTCCTTGAATTGCTTTCTTGTAACCTCGTGGATTTGAGTCAACTAGGAAGCCACAGTGGGGAGTTGATTAAAATGGTGTCTGACCAAGGCTTTATAGAGAAAGTATTGGTCTAACTGGAGATTTATGATTCAAATCTTTATAATTTTTATAACTGGCTTAGCCAACTTGGTCCTTTTCTCTTTCCATAAATCTTTCCAAATGTCGTAACATGTCCAAAATACTCACATTGGACTATGCGTTATACTTTTTAACCGTTTTGTGGTGCTCCGGTAAAACTGTGCTATGTTGCTATACAGTTGAACGGGCTCTCTGGTATTTGTATATGTTTGATTCTCATCCTGAACATGCTAATCCTACAAACTGATAACCACGTAGCCGCCGTGGTGTAGCGGCTAGACACTTGCCTGGGGATCAGAAGGTTGTGATTTCAAATCCAAACAGAGTCATATTTTTTTTTTTCAAAAATGACCCTGACTCCCAGATCGACTCAGTTTTGAATGGATACCAGAAACAATCTTAGCAAGTCAATGATTCTGATGCCATTGTCTACTTAGTGGTAGTTACAAATATAGATCCAGCATTATGCCTCCAAATAGGTCTGAAGTCACCATTACATCCCATTTTATTTCTGACCCTTTTCATGCTATTAGCGAATTAGGCACACAGTCTTGGAATCAAAGTTCAGTCGGTACTTGATGTGCGATATAGTCAAGACTCGTCTTGACTTCCTAAGAAACTTCCTAACTTTTTCGCAACTTTGATGAATAAGGGCATATGGTGCAAAGACCAATCAATGCTCGGTAGGAGATGTGTCGACCATAGGCTACGGAACCTAGGGTGTCAGACCCATTAAGGCCACACCCCCCCCTCCCCCCAATAATCTTTGGGAAGTAGAGTCCCTGACTTCCACCTTATGTATTGTATCATCATCATCATCATCATCATTATCGTCATTGTCATCATCATCAATTTCCACTCCTGCCAGTAAGCTTTGTGGTGAAGAACAGTTTGCAATCCATTGCTTGATGGGCAGCAATGAATGGTGTCATTCCATGTCGATGTAGTAGCTCTTAAATGTCATCCATCTATGTTCGCCTAGTTCAGCCTTCTGCTTTCTCTTCAGATCCTTTCATGCGTAATGCATGCGTTGGTTGTTGTTCTGGCTGCACTCTTATTAACGGACCAAACCATTTAATCTTCTATTTTTCAATCATTTGCTGCATGGTGTTGTACCTACAGTCTGTGCAAATTTCATTTTCAACTTTGTCTCGGATGGTTAGGTTTAGCGGCTTTTATTTTACGTGATAATGTTCGCGTAATAATGTCCAAGTCTGGCACTGGTAGCATAGTATATATATATATATATATATATATATATATATATATATATATATATATATATATATATATTATATATATATATATATATATATATATATATATATATATATATACACACACACACACACAAATACATATATACATATATACGTTAAATAAATATTCTTTAAAATATATTATTTTATAGCCATTTAGCACATATTATTATTATTATTATTATTATTTTGCACAATTCAGCATAGCCCAGGTCCATTGAAGCCCTTAGTAATTACTCAGGCGTCCCCCCCCCCCCCTCTTTCCCGTGTCAACATCATATTGACCACTTTAACAAGATATTTCCTGGCCCTTGTTTAGGGTTGAGTTCCATCTTTTCTCCCTACCCCTGAAGAGTCTCTGAAGAGGTTATAAGTTGATTACATGCAACCGCCACGGGTAAGAATGTATGTATGATAAGGCTGTGTTTTCCCTGTGTGCCTTTCGATGCACACAAAGATGAGTGAGGTGTGAATAGACCCCACTACCCATTGCAAGCTTGACGGACTGACAGACTATTCGTATTCGCCCTACCGGAACATTACACTGAGCGATTAACACCCGGTGACACAAAGTGCCACCACGTGGATGAGGGTCACCCGTGGAGAGGTCTCAGAAACTCTGTTCAGCTGTTAGGTTATATTAGGACCCCCGGAAACAGCCAGGGTGGGGTCAAAAGGACGAAAAATTCATCCCACAAGGGGGTTGAATTATTAAAGTATAGGCAAGCTTGTCGTAAAGCAATATTATTTAGGAGGTTGCTGAAATCGGATGTGTAGGGATGAAAGGCACAGATATCACAGCTAGCTATAAATCACAACACACACTTCCAACCTCCCTTTTAAATGTTAACGAAAAAGAAGAAGAAGAGGAAGAAGGAGAAGAGAGAAGGTTTGGTCGACCTAGCAACCCAAACAAATAATAAGGGAATTGCCAGTAATCTAAAATTTTGAACCAGGACACGAACGATGTAAAACAAGAAACATGTTTTTCACACGAAAAAAAAAACTGTGAGTTCAAGGACAATAGAAGACAACAGCAGTCAAGATGTCTGCCCCCAAGAGTGAACCAAAGACCATTGGAAACGGAATCAAATTCCTCTTCGGGGGAACTGCCGGGTAAAATAAACGTTACAAGAGCTGAATAATGGGAGTAGTTTACGCGTTTTTGTTTATATTTGTTGTACAGTATTATTTTCTTATATGAAGTTTGTTGGTTGTGTCGATTGTTGTCCTTGACTAGTTTTTGAAACTGAGTGAAACTAATTTTGTTTGCGTAGGCAAGATTAGAACAGAACAAAGATAGTTCCATGTTTCGGCAAAATGGGATCGTAGATGTAATTCAAATCCTTGGTCGCTTATGGGTGTTGAACTATTTTAGGAAAATTACTATGCAATTATTCGTGTCTGTTATTTATATTACCGGTGCCATTATTCATTATCAGTCACGTAGGCTACGTCTCACTGAAGGTTGTCAGCAGTGGATATCGTCCTCCTTGCGCTCATACTACTGAAGCTTTCAGAGACGCCTGTTCGTCCATATCATAAGTTTCATTCCCAGGGGGTTTAGCATCAGAGGCCCAAGGGGTAGTAAAGACGGACATAAAATTGGCGCCTTCTGCGTTAATTGGGCTATTTGGTAGGAACGTATAGCACGTTCCTTGGGACTAAAAGAGTTAATGTTATCCTTCATTGTTTTTTAAATCGATGTCTGCCTCTTGCTTTCTTGTCTTCTATTTGGCCCTCCATTATTTATGCAAGTATCAGGTCCTTTAACTCTTTGAGTCCCAGGTGGTTTAGCATCGGAAGCCCAAGGGGTGGTAATGTAATTTTATTAAAGTGTCACAAGTGTAAGACATACTATACGAATTGCTACAAGTGGATAAAGAAATTCAAGAACAGTATAGAGTTATTGTAAAAAACAAATACAATGCAGTAACTAAAATTAAAAGTATAAATAAGCAATGGAAAATGCTAAAATACTCTATTCAGCAAATGAGCAATGGGAAATGCTAAAATACTCCATTCAGCAAATGAGCAATGGGAAATGCTAAAATTATCCATTCAGCAAACAAGCAGAGAGCTACTACCGGAAATGAAACAAAAAGCTAAGAAGAAATGGATGACTGAAGAAATCTTGAAGTTGATGGACAAGCATAAACAAAATAAAACCAACAAAGAAGAATATGACAAGATACACAATGAAATCAGAGCTATATTTCTAACAGCCAAACAAAGGTGGTTAAATAAGCAATACACCAGAATTAAAGTAAACTCCATTAAAGATACAAAAAGTATGCACAGGCAAATCAGCAATTTGACAGGAAGAAAAATAAGAGTAAAGACAGGATTTTAAAAGTATTCCTGTCTCGGAAGCTGAAATATTTTGGTCATTTCAAGCTCCACGACGGATTGGAAACAATTATAGCAGAAGGCATGGTACCAGGAAGGAGGGGCAGGGGCCGAAAACATGAAGATGGGCACAGGATATAAGTGACTCTTTGAGTATGAAAGTGCATGAGGTGGGAGAGCTGGCAAGAGACCGAGTTTCTTTCAGGCAGACCGTGATGAGAGTGACGTTCTGCAAAGGACCTGCTACATGTTGATGATGACAGGATTTTAAAAAGAAACACAGGAAAGGTATTAATGGATAAAGATTCTGAATTAGGAGATGGAATGAATACATGCAAGAAAAGAATGATATAATGGAGAAAGAATAGATCTAACAGCAGAAAGTAACCTAGAAGGGCAGCCATACTAAAAGAAGAAGTCTCTGATGCTATCAAGCATAGGAAGAAAGGAAAAACAACCGGACCAGATGAAATTACAATAGAGGAAATAAAAGTACTCGGAGAATCTGGAGTTGACATTTCAGCTAAACTGTTGACTGATATTTACAACAATGGAGATATGCCTAATGAAATGTTGAAGTCTGTATTAATAGTAGTACCTAAAAGACCTGGGGCAATTGAATGTGATGAATTTCATACAATCAACCTCATATACCATGTCACCAAACTGTTATTCAGAATTATAATGAGAAGAACAAGAAAGAAAATGCAAATGGAAATAATGAAGACCAGTTTGCTTTTGTAGAAGGGAAAGGTAAAATTAATGCAGTATTCACAATGGTGAATATTAGTAGAGAAAGCAATGGAGAAGCAGAAAGACATGAATTTTTGCTTCATAGATTATACCAAAGCTTTTGATAAGTAGCCTTATAGCAGATACTGACATTGAAGTGTTAGACCTTTACACATTATAGGCCACAACATATGAAGTGAGCTGGCCAGTTTCTTTCCTCCATGGAGACAGTAAAACACATTCTCAGCTAGTGAGTTAGAGATAAAGTAATAAAGTAAACCAGATGGAAATTTATTATTTATATTCAGTTATTCAGTTATTCATTTGTTTTATTTATTTTGTCTTTTAAGAATGGCAGCAACAGTTTTCGTTCAGCCACTGGATCTTGTAAAAAACAGAATGCAGTTGAGTGGTGAGTTTATGTGATTTGTCTTAACATAACTTTTTTTACCTTGTCTTGTCTTACTTTCTCTTGTCTTACCTTGCTGAGTCTCACTTTGCCTTGGCGTGTCTTGCTTTGCCTTGGCGTGTCTTGCATAACCTTGTATTGTCTTATCTTGCCTTGTCTTACTTCACCTTGTCTTGCCCGTAAGTAAACTTAGTTGAATAGCTCTGTTCTTTGTGCACATCATAAGAGCTAGAAAACTGGAATACATTATAAATACTGAAAATCTGGAAACCAAAGGAAATGTTTGTTCAGCTTGGTGGAACATCTGAATAAGAATTTTAAAACAGAACATAAGACGGAACAGAAAGCTATACACAAACATGATGAAAAGTGCTACATAGCATTGACTGTACGACTGACCGTACACGAATGCAATCAGACCTAGAAAGCAGGAAGCACAGTCAGAGAGATGGAGACGCACAGCAAAACCCTAATCCAAACTACTAGAGCAAAATAAAGGACCCAGACATGATCATAGTGACAACATCCCATATATCTAGAGAGAAAACAAGCCACAACTCTAGCTCCTACAAACTATTTAAGCTACCGAACATGGCACGAATCAAAACAGACTACAATTCTAATCAAAGCTGTTTTCAGCATGGTTAAATGTAATGATTTTTGCTATTGTTTATCAAACAAGTATGGTAGTACATGAGACAAAAGACTGGATAGTCATTATGACCAGGACTAAACAACAGGGACTATTGAAAAAAAAAGTATTTGAGACAAAAAGCCACAGTATGTGCCCTTCCTCCCACAGTGGACTACAATTTATGTCGCAGCCGTAAGGTGCTCCAATATGAGTTATACGATTGAACAGGGTTTCCAGGATTTCTGTCTGATTCTTATCCTTAGGGTGTTAATCCTACAGACTGCAATTTTAGAGGGAAACCAGACTGAAAAGAAAGATGTTAACTATTGGTTTTCAATATTTTTCAGGTGGCACCTCCTTGAATAGACCCTTCCCTCACACCCCTAACATCTTATAACAACAACAACAAAAAATGGCGTTGATAAGAAGAGGGCACACACACACACACAAAAACCTCAGGGAATATTAACCAGGATTGTGTTATCCTATCACTAGATTTTTTACGGTGGATATGCAAACTGCTCATGAATACAAAAAGATTAACATAGTCAATAAATGCCCACAGAAGGTTAGATGTGTTGGCCGAAAGGTGCAAATATAGCAACCATGCTGTGAACGGGCACAACATAGTTACATCTTCAGATGAACGCAGGAGAAGAATACAAAATATTTCTTAGTTTTGAACAAATATTTGATCTGTAATTAAACTGAAGAAATGTTACTGTAACAGATTATTGCAAGTACAAATTAAATGTCAGGAATACCCACATGTTGAGACCTAATTAACTCAGACATTGTTTCTATAGTTTGAAAAAGAGTGAGCGTTATAACACTGTGCACTGTGTGTTTCCTTCGCAAGGTGTGGGCGGAGAAAAGAGACAGTACAAGACCAGCTTCCATGCTCTGGCATCCATCTTGAAAAATGAGGGAGTTCTGGGGATCTATACAGGGTGAGTGAGCTGGCAGCTTGGCCTCAAGTATGCGAGGATTTTTTTTTTTCAAAACACCTCTTGATACTCCGGCTCCCTCTTCTTCATCTTCGTTCTTCTTCCTCTTCTTCCTCCTCAGTCATAGTCATAATTCCCCTCTCCCCCCCCCCCCCCCCCCCCATAATGATTCTTTGGTCCGCTACATTCTATAATCACTTTTAAACCCTTATATATGTAAATACCAGTGGTTTTCTGGACATCTCTCTAATCCATTGATTTATATTTAATAACTTACTGTGAGTTTTTGTCTGCTGTGATTACTTATCAACATCTCTCAGTACCAAACAAGTGTTTAACTTTTTCTATCCAGAACAGTTGTTAATCTGAACATATAAATATTAGGTCTAAAGAAATTCAAAGAAACTATATGGGACAGCAAGAATTGAACTGAATAAAAAATAGGACCAGAGCTGAAAGTTAAAGGTTAGGGATCAACTTTATTGCACCAGGTGTTATCCCTTATGGCTTAGTCTCTCTCCATAGAATTGCGCTGATTCCAGAGAGTGCCTCACAGAACACTAACCCTGATGCTCCAGTGACAGCGCCCGGGGACCTCGGAAAAACCGCATTTGTGAACTCAACGGCCATCCATGAGAGCAGCCCACGACCCTCAAAGCTGATGCAACAGGTTTGACCACTTCCCTCAGAGACACCCACCAGCTCCCAATTAGGGCAGAGGATGACAGAATAAGAGTATGACGGTAACAGATCGAGAGGTCGACCACGCAGAAAATGAATCACAGAAATATTAGAGACTGAAAAGTACTTGATACGAAGCAAACAGAAGGACCCATTCCATAAATCTCTTCCTGCCCTGGTACCACAAGGTATCCCAGGAGTAGAGACAAGAAGAAAAAAGAGAGTACAAAGTAACAACTGGATGTGTCACAAGGAGATAAGAAAAGCATGTTTTATGTGTATTTATCAGTAAACTCATGGTGACTTGCTTGGTATTGAGTTAAGAGTATATAACATACTTTCATTTGGATTCACTTATGAGGAAGATAAAACGCCAATAAAGGCAGCCATTAGAACCGAAAGGAACACTTCCCATCCAGAACACAATCCTGAAGACATAAAGTCTTCTCACACGAAAGACACGGACCATTATATTTAGATCAAAAAGCATCCGTAACCGACTTGCAGAGTCTGTACACAAGAAATTTGAGATTTCAGAACTTTGCCCCTGTGGACAAGCACAACAGAATAGTGAACATGGGCTTTAGACATGCTCTCTGCATGCAGTATGAGGTCCCAGGTTTCCTCAATAAGTATTCTCTTTAAAATCAAGCTGTAGGGATGAACGAACGAACGAACTTTATTTTCAAAGGGTTACAAATTAGGCACGCAGGCCTGTCTTACATTCGGCCCTTCCAAACTTCCATCTCTCGCACAGCAGTTGTATGTCATCAATGAAGCATGTTATATTTATGTAATAATATGCATATTATATATATAAAGTCAAAAACAAAAGCATGGGTGGTAAAATATGTGCGCACGCTCACGCGCGAACACACACACCCATATACACATACAACCCAAATCACTCACTTACACACAAACACATAGGTACCCAGTACACACATACATCTACATACATACGAACATGCACACACACATACATACATACGTACGTACATACGTACATACATACATACATACATACATACATACATGAGAAAATGATGAACATTAAATGGGGTAGATTCCAAAGGAGTCACGTGTGAGCAGCCACTAGTTACCAACACTTATAAGATAGAGAAGATGGCCCTGTATTGGGCACATTCTGAGAAGAGACAAACAGCGAATCACCAGACAGGTACTGAAATGGGAAATAAAGGAACTGAGGAAATGAGGACGTTCAAGAAAAACGTTAAGGTGAACATTGATGAGAGAAGCCACAGATGCTGGACTGGATTCCATCCATGATATCCGAGTGATAGCACAGGAGAGAACAGAATCCAGAAGTAGACTGTGAGCCCTATGTGTCATATACTGTCATGACAGGACATTGAATGAATGAATGACTGAAAGAATAAGTGTGGATCAGTGCAAGATGTGCTTCACACCACGGCCTTCATAAAAGCGTGTGGCTATCTCACCTGAAAACCATTGGCGGGGGAAATGATCTCATCTGAAAACTGCTGGCAATGAGAAGAAGGAGAAAACTTTTATTATATGGTCTTGTGTATGAAAAGAGATTAAATTATTATTTCTTCTTCTTTCGTTTGCTTGAAATAAATTATCTTTATCTGCAATACTGTCTCTAGTATGAATTAATATTAATGAATTATTATTTAAATATAGCAGAGGTGTGTGTATAGAGAGAGAGAGAGAGAGACTGTGACTGTTTTTTTTTTCTCTCCATCCTTGCAGTCTCAGTGCAGGCCTACTTCGACAGGCTACCTACACAACAACTCGACTGGGCATTTATACGTCACTGTTTGACTTCTTTTCCAAGTGAGTTGCTTTAATGATATATGTCTCTCTTTGCTTATTTAACTCTAGATTTACGACAACATGCTTGTCGCATGTATCTTTTATGTTTAATTCTAAATTTATTACATCATACTTGTCACAAGTATCCTCATTGTTTAAATACAGATTTATCACACCACACTTGTCACAAGTATCTATATTTAATTCTGGATTTACCAAAAGTATACAGGTTTCACAAGGATTTCTAATGGATAGCAGAGCTTACTTATCAGCTTCTCGAGACCAAAGGGTTAAAGAAATTAACTCACCCACAGCGTTAGAAAGAGTCAGCAGTAAATCCTTACGTCTGCCCCCTAGATTTAACTGAGGTAACTGGAGGAAGTGAAGAAGTAGTTGTGTTTAGACGATTATCTTATGATGTTTAGGAAATGTTAATAAGATACAGAGTCAGTAATGAAGAACTGAGACAACTGGTAGGCACAGTACTGGTAAATGATGTCATAGAATGTCAAAGAATCAAGTAAATTAGTCATCTGGTCAGAATAGAACAAATCAGCCAGCAGCAAGAGCGTACTACATGAGAACTGCAGGCTACAAGTCAAGAGTCAACCAAGAAAGAGATAGTTTGAGGGAGTAAAGAAAATAGACAACACAGAAATGCAGTAAAACATTAACACAATCTGTGCAGCAAGCAGAACACCAGAAAACTATGTCTAACACCTCTCTGCGACACTTTACAGCACAAGCAGTAGGACTGCCCCCAAACAATTGTCTTGGGTATTACACCTTTCTTTGCATGTTCTGTCAACAGAGATGGAAAGCCTCCAAATTTTTTGATGAAAGCTCTGATAGGTGTGACAGCCGGAGGAGCTGGAGCCTTTGTGGGAACTCCTGCGGAAGTGGCGCTCATCAGGATGACTGCAGATGGCAGGTATTTTTCATTTTGCTTCTTCTTGTTTTTTTCTTCTCCTCCTGCTGCTTCTCTTTTTCATACTCTTCCTCCTCCTTTTTCTTCTTTTCTTGTCATGACTCTACTAGAGCACACCAACCCCTTTGTAGACTTGTTCAGGATTGGTTGGATTTTGAAGCTAAAATATTCTTGGGGTTGAGGTTGGAGTCTTATGCCAGTGTTCTGTAGTTGCCTCCTATGACATGCATGGAAGTCTAAAGTGTTATATTCTTTTATTCTGTTATAGTGCTTCATTACATATGGCAGGTTTCTCTTGTGTAGGGTTTAATTAAGAGCCAGTGTTAAAGCACTGTTAGTGTTCCCTCCCCACCTTTAGCAGCCAGCTCAGTCTCCATACCAACTGTGCTGGTTCTAATGTGATTAATGTTTCATTTTGCCCTTCCTCTAAGCCTGATCTACCAGATCCTCTAGTCCAGTGGTTCCCAAATAGATAAGACCCACAAACTCCCTCTTATTTTTTAAGATCTGTCATGGATCCCATACTTTGTAAACACATTGTATTAAACAGACAAAACAAAATCAGGAGTAAATCTATATTAGAATTGGAAAAAAAAAATGTTTAAGAGTTTTTTGTTAATGATATTATGGATCTCTTAAATTTGTTCAGTGGAACACCAGCTGGGAACCTCTGGTGTGTTCACTTTCTCTTGCATTATTCTCTCCAGACCATGATAAGCTGTTCAGTTTTCTACACTTTCCACATACTTTGACCGGATCTTGCTTGTCATGCATCAATTCACCACACACTGGTTTAGAACCAGCTGGTCTGTTCACTTCTCTACACTGACCACATACTCCCAGAGTGCCTCCACCAGATTTTGCTTGTCATGCATCAATTCACCACACACTGATTTAGAACCAGCTGGTCTGTCTGTTCACTTCTCTACACTGACCACATACTCCCAGAGTGCCTCCACCAGATTTTGCTTGTCATGCATCAATTCACCACACACTGATTTAGAACCAGCTGGTCTGTCTGTTCACTTCTCTACACTGACCACATACTCCCAAAGTCCCTCAACCGGATCTTGCTTGTCGTGCATCAGTTTTCACTCGCTGCTGTAGAACCAGCCAGTCTGTTCAATTTTCTACACTTTTCACATGCTCCTAGAGTGCCTCGACCGGCTTTTGCTTGTCATGCATCAATTCACCACCCACTGGTTTAGAACCAGACGGTCTGTTTACTTGTCTACGCTTTTCACATACTCCCAGAGTGCCTCCACCAGATTTTGCTTGTCATGCATCAATTCACCACACACTGGTTTAAAACCAGCCGGTCTGTTCACTTCCTAAAATACCAGCCTACTTTGGACAAAAATTGTAAAGCATATCAGTCTTCTCCCTTCTCAAAATGCTTTATGAGTATGGAGACCATGTGTCCCATTTTCACTGGCACAGTCCCAGTTTTTTAGGTGTGCCCCAACAATTCCATCGGTAGCCCAGAAAATTGCCAATTGTCCCATTTTACACAGATCTAGAAATAAGCTCGAGAATAGAACAATCACTGATGTATGTAGACCTTATTAGATTTCTCACTTTTAATGCCTGAAATGTGTTGATGAGAATTTTCATTGTAGCATGTTTCGTTTATTTCTTAGCAGCAATGGTTCGGGTTTTCATACTGTTGTTGAGTAATTAACCCGTTCACCCAGATGATGTGAAAATGAGGATTTGAGGTTAAACTGACTTGCTTGGGAAGTCCCATTTTCAGCTGAAAATATTAAGTTGTTGTTCAGCTCAAATTATGATGATCACCCTATTTATGAGTCTGTTACAGCCACAGTGTGTGTAGCAGCTCCTCTTGCAGGAAGCAAAATGAAGATAACATGGGCCCACTTTGATGCGTCACATGTAATAATGACCTTCCTTATGGCTGAACATGAGAAAGGGAACTTGTCATCCCCACCTCATACATCTCTGACCTCAGTGCTTGACACACCCACACAAGCACACGCATGCACACCCATACACCTATATATATATATATATACACACACACACACATACATATACACAAATGTATACAAATATATATATAAAATGTTATATATACACACACATATATTTACATATGTATACATTGTTGTTGTTGTTGTTGTTGTTATCGATCCAGCGGCGCATGAGCTTTCGCCCTTTGGCCCAATGCCATGTAGTGGAATTTGCATGTTTTCACAAGCTGTTCTTTTCCTCCGTACAAGGTGTTCCACTTGTCTGGTCTCGGAGGGAGTAGCGTTCTTCTTGTCTCACTGAGTTTTGGGCACTCAAAGAGATGGTGTTCAACAGTTTCGTAGGGGTAGTTACATAGCTGGCACTCTGGGGAGTGTTGTGGCTGTATTCTGTTTAGGTGTCCATTGAGTGGAGTATGTTGCGTTCTAAGTCTGAAGATGGTGGCCTGGTCCCTTCTTGTTAGATGGTTAATGCTGTCATTAGGATCAGGGCCAGACATATGTCTATAAACCTCTCTTCCAGTGTCTCCCATGGCCCATCTGTTCAACCAAGTCTCTTTGTTTATAGCTCTTATCAGTGTTTTTGCTGTCTGGAGGGTTGTCGCTGTAGGTGGTTGTTCTTGTGTTGCTCCTTTCTTTGCCAATCTGTCAGCTCTGTCATTACCTGGTGTGCCGGAGTGACCTGGAATCCACTGCATCACTATTCTGATGTTGTATGAGGTAATAAGATGATCGGCATCCAGGATTATCTTGGCTATGTCAGTTCTGCAGCGTTCATTGCCCTCCAGAGCTTGAAGGGCAGACATTGAATCTGTAAAGATGACAATATTTTGGACCTTTGAGGGGTAAACATCCATTACAGTCTTTAGGTGGTATACTGCTGTTTCCAGTGCAATTATTTCAGCTTCATAGTTTGAACAGAATTCCCCGCATGCATCAAAAATCTCTTCAACAGATCCATCGGGATAACCTATGTAGATTCCGTAACCTGCTTTAATGGTAGCTTTAAATGCTGATCCATCAGTATAGACATGTATCCATTCTTGGGGGTAAGAATCAACGGTCTTTAGTGATGAGTTCATAAGAGCGATTGGGTCGGACTGTTTGGTTTCCTCGCCTACCAATTTAGTTTGGACTTCTGGAGCTTTAAAGCGAGCATGTGGTGGTAGGTTTTTTGCAACATTCTGAATTCCTTGACGTCTTTCTGGGAGGTGGTATCTGTCCTGAATTTCATTTACACAGTGTAAAACCGATTTGTGCTTTATTCTTTGTTTGGATTCCCAGTTTTCTACAAGATGTCTATTAGGATGGTTACGATTTTTCCTAACGCATCTTTCATAAATTTCTAAAGTGGCTTTTTCTCTCCGCAACCCAAGGGGTTCCACATTTGTATGGATTTCACATGCAGCAGTTGGTGTAGACTGCATAGCTCCGCAGATTAATCGGGGGGCATTATTTTGTACTCTGTCAAGAGTCTCTAGGTTAGTTTTGGAACAAGTTGTAAGCAGTGAGTTGTTGTACTCTATCACAGAGCGAACATATCCTAGGTATAAGCCCCTCAGAGTTTCCTTGTCTGATCCCCATGATGTACCTGCAAGTCTCTTTAATAACTGTAACCGCCTCAATGCCTTATTCCTGATGTTTTCAATATGGTTCTTGAGGCTGAGCTGCGGGTCAAGTGTGACTCCAAGGTATGTGGGATGCTCTTCTTTCATCACTTGGTGTTTGTCTAACCTCAGGTTAATATTCTTCCTTGCTACTTGGTGGCTTTTGGTAAAGATTGTGTAGACCGTCTTTGCACAGTTAATCTTGAGTTTCCATCTTTGGCAGTAATCATGCAGTCTTCTAAGGTCTCCATTCAGTCTTTGGGCTCCACTTTCCACATTTTCATGACTCTGCCATATTGCTAGGTCATCAGCGTACAAGGCTTTTTCGGCCTTGATTTGTTCTGGCAGGTCATTGATAAAGATTAGGAATAGTGTACAGCTCAATGATGAGCCTTGTGGCAAGCCCTCCTCCAAGACTTCTTTAGAAGAGATTGCGTTGTGCATCTTAGTCTGGATTGTTCTATCTATCAGGAAGTATTTCACCCAGTTATACAATCTGCCATGTATTCCTATGCTCATCATCTTCATCAGGAGACCTTTTCTCCATACTCTGTCATAGGCCTGCTGGAGGTCGACAAAGACTGCCACTGTGTGTTTCTTATTCTGGAAGCCATCATGTATTCTTTGTGTCAGTCTGAACAGCTGGTCTTCTGTGCAGCTGTTGGTTCTGAAGCCTGCCTGTTCATGGCATAGAACACCAGAACTCTCAAGGAACCAATATAAGCGCCTGTTTATCATTCTTTCTGCAACTTTGCCCAAGCATGATGTTAAGGATATCGGGCGGTAGCTTTTGGGGTCATCTGGAGGCTTTTTGGTTTTAAGGATGGGGACGATATATGCATTCCTCCATGCCCTTGGAAGTTTGCTTGACCTCCAAGTTTTATTAATAAGCCTGAGAACTACTTCTCTCCCAGACCGGCCAAGATGTAGCAGCATTTCGTTGTGGATCTTATCTGGGCCTGGAGATTTTCTAGGTTTTAATTTCTTCAGGGCTTGCTCTAATTCATCCATGCTAAATTCATTTTCAAAAAGGGAGTCGCTGGCTGTTGGAGCTCTCTCTTGTTTCTTCAACTGAGAGAGCTGTGTTCTATCGAGTTCTGACAGCTTACCTGCTCTGTTAACCGAGGCAAAATAATGATTGAAATGTTCTGCTTTCTTCTTGTCTTCAGTGATTGTCTTACTCCCATCTGTCACTGGTTTTGGGTTCACCCTTCTACTTTCTCCGGAGAGGTTTTTAACTAAAGTCCATGCTTTATTTCCATTCTGTCTAAGGTCTAAGTTGGAGCAAGTTTCTGTCCATTTATCTCTTTTAGCCTTATTAACTACAAGCTTTACTCTGGCACATGCTTTATTGTATTGGATCTTTGCTTCTGTTGAACGTGCAGTTTCGAGAAATATTCTTGCTTTATTCCTTTCAGATATAGTATTTTGAATTTCTTGATTCCAAAAAGGTTTATATGCCTTCCGGCTGCCCTTTGGGATGGCTTTCGACGCTGCATTCAGGATTGCTTGTGTTATGTCTTCACAAAAAGTTTCCACACAGCTGTTGTCAATTCTTCCCAGGAGGCAGTCAGATGTTTCCTGAAATAGTTTCCAGTTTGCTTTTCGGAAATTCCAACGGGTTCTCTGCTTGAAGCGTAATTTAGGGGTGGTGCTTACAGTTGTGAGTATAGGTTTGTGGTCACTTCCTATGTCGTCCAGGACTTGGGGATAGCTTGCGTCTGCTAAGTCGGATGAGCAGATGGTCAGGTCTGGTCTGCTGAGAGATAGGTGGGCCCTGTGTAACAGTGTAGGTGTAGACTCTGTGTCCTGCAGCACTAATAGGTTAGTTGTTTCACAAGTATCTTCGATGTACTTCCCTGTGCTATTGTAGTCAGGGTAACGCCAACGTGGCGAGTGTCCGTTGAAGTCACCAACAAGAAGGGTTTTATGGTACTGTGTCTTGTATAGTTCTGGTATGTTGCATGTTGTCTGAGGTGGGCTGTACACGTTGTATATCGTGTATTTGCTTCCATTGTGCCAGATAGTTATTTTTTGCACATCTGTAGGGTGAGATGTCGACAGCATTGTTACATCTCCTTGTATGTCATTTCTGATATAGGTCACTATGCCCCGGCAGTCATTGCACTTACAGGCATAACTAGTATATCCAGTGAGATGCAGATCAGAGTCTTTATGCAGGGTTTCTTGTAGGGCAGCCACGTGTACCCTGTGGTTGTTTAGCAGTTTGGCAAGTTCAAGTTTCTTATTTCTTATTCCACAGATGTTCAGCTGCAGAATATTGAGCATCTGTGTATTTTTTGCTGTGCTGTCTGAGTTCTTTTTGCTCTCCCTCCCACTCTTCCTCCTCCTGGGGTGTCTGTTTTCCCTATTTATTTCAAATTTTCCAGTAGCCAATTTTTCGCACATGACAGCCTGGTTTCCCACTGTCTGGCGCGGGCCTTGATAGACGAGGCGACGACCGATCTCGTATGTATTCTTAAATTTTGACATATTCATGGCATTGTGGTGCTGGGGTGTCTGTGGATTACCTACCTCCCCGGGCAGCAGCTAGAAATGCCCTGTACCAGTTCTAAAGGAAATATGGGTTGTGTTTCTGCCTTTCCCTTTTACACGTAGCTAAGGTGGGGCTCACAGTGTGCTCATTCCCCGCCACCAGATTGCCTGCAGGTTTCGCTGAGCTCTTCATGTCTCTAAGCATGGCCTAAGCATGAGTAGTTGGGGCAACTGGATCGTCACGTCCTGAGTCCCTGTGCCTTCACGATAGTTTCCGGTATTCAGGGGGGTTAGCATACTTGTTTCCATTCCTAAGACTGTTCAGCACACCTCTGGCTCCTTCCCTCCCACAGGGGGCAGTACGGTGTGGTGCACCGGGTTTATTATCGAGGTTTGCTCCTCTAGATCCATTGTGTTTTGCCTGGGGATTCGCACCCCCAGTTACCGGGACTACCTCGGGGAGGCTGTGACTCTTCGCCACGCACAATGGTCTTGAGGTAAGAGAGGTTTTGCTAGGTCAAGAGGCTGACACCACAATGGACGCTCCTTTCGTGAACAGATATTCACTAGACCTAGGGTGAAGTAAGGGGGGGAACCCACTACCCACAACACCAACACTTCTTACCCCCTGCCTCTCGAGGCTCAGTCCCACATATGTATACATATATACCTATATATATAGATATTTATATATATATATACACACACACACACACAGATATATACATATGTTGGCTATCCTCCGAATAACGGTCGGTAAAGATGGCGGCCGCAAAATATCCTTTCGAGCCACAGTCACATGTCGATTGCGCACTTCAGGCGACTAAATTTGCGGTTTTCCGGTGACTACCCCCACGAGTCCCCAATGCCGCATGAGCGGCGTGGATTGGGGCTAAACTAGATGGCCAGGACCCACGAGCAGCAGCTTTCGCATCTGCTGAAGCTTTGCTTGTGAGTCGTAGCCATCTAGTTTAGCCCCAATCCACGCAACGTGAGCGGCGTGGGGGACTCGTGGGGGTAGTCGCCAAGAAACCACTGGAGAACCGCCATATTTACTGACCGTTATTCGGTGGATAGCCCATAGGTTTTTAAATATGTGTGTGTATGCGTGTGTGTATATATATATATATATATATATATATATATATATATATATATATATATATATATATATATATATATATATATATATATATATATATATATATATATATATACAAATATACATATGTAAACATATATACATTTATATACATATATGTATATACATATATAAATATATACACACACACATACTGTTTATCTGGTCCTTTCCATAAAACTCAGATTGCCAGTCGAGGAGAGAAGAGGTTACAAGAATGTTTTCAATGCTTTGGGAAGAATAGTCAAGGAGGAAGGAGTACTGACACTTTGGAGGGTAAGTTGTTGGTTTAGATCCCGCTCAGTTAATACATTTATTCTGTGTGTTTGTGGCTTCTCCATTTATAATTCACCTGACAGAAGCAGAAATAGAACATAGATGTAATAAAGCAATTCAAATTACTGGACAGATGTCACCAATGATTTGATTTGATTTGATTCAAGAACCGACATCTCAGCACTCGGGGCATTTCCATAAGCGCTACGTCCCCATCTTCAGCAGCCAGCACAGAGTTCTGATACTAATGTTTCTGATGAAACGTCCGTCTTGCCTTTCCTCTGAGCCTCGAGCATCTGCCAGAACCTCTTGTCACTCCCAACTGCATCAATCTCACCAGACTGTGGTGATCCATCTGCTTCTCTGAACTGTACACGCTCTCCCACAAGGCACTAACCACGTCTGCCTTATCATGCATCTGTATTCCACCAAGCTGTGCAGAGCCAGCCAGTCTGTCCGCCTGTTCATTTCCCAACACACCGGAGGTGGTCACTATTTTGGGAGAACAGGCTTGTAACCATTGGCACCACAAGAGCGCTATTCAATACAGTTTTTTTTTTACCAACATAGTGTTACCAATGCCAAACAAGGACATTAACAAAGCAAAGAAAGAAAGAAAACAAATCAAAGCTACAGAATTGAAATGTCTACGACAAATTGTAAAAATTACTAGAAGAGACAGGAGCAAAAAATGACGATGTCAGGAAAGAAGATGGGACGGATCCAGTATTAAACCACGTAACAGATCAAATGGTTTGGACATGTGCCAAGACACCAACAGATAGTACATCACAGAGAGCCCTGTGCTTAGACGTAATGGAAGCAGATTAACAACACAAATGATGAATAGATGGAATGAATATCCAAGGCCTAATATTCTAGCTCTGTGGCTTAGGCATTGCAAACACACTTCGTAATCCCAGGGTGCCGGCTTCGATCCCAGCTGCGGACGATTTGTCTTGCGTTGGTTTCAACAGTGGTACCAAGAGCTGACCGTGCAGAAAGCAGTGGCAAACTACTGAATGTAAAAAAATTTCTAGGAAAGCCACAACAGCCAAAAAATGCTGGAGTTGGTTCTGCAATGGATACACAACTAACTTTACCTTGTGTACTAGCATCTACATATCACATACAAAGGCTCGCACCAAATGCTTCTTCATAGCCTGACACTGAAAGGTAGATCAGGAACAGAGAAGAAGAAGAATTCATTATAAATGATTGTCAGTACAATAAACAGAGGGCTGTGGACCGATATGATTACCATTGCCACATGACATGGGTTATAAGAAGTATCCCTGATGTAATTCTTCAGTCAGATGTCTTTACCCACACAGGAGTGCAGGTTACAGCTGACTAGAATAGCCATTACTGGTGCCCTAATTATAACTTCTTGAAAGGTTGAACAGGATGTCTGGAATCTGTGCCTTGTAGGTCTGCTGTCCAGATTGAGATTGTTTTAATTTAAGGATTGTAGGATAAACCTTTAGATAGCATCATGGTTTGAGGAAAACAGTGAAATTTAGTAGTACATTTTACCCCATCAAGGCATCACACAAGCGATAAACGCCCGATGACACAAAGTGCCACCATGTGGATGAGGATCATCCGTGGAAAGGTCCCGGAAACCACGTTTAGCCATTAGGCCATAATTAGCTTATACAGTCTAAGATTGCTTTACATTTTCCAGGGGTGTATACCGACTGTGGGACGGGCTATGGTGGTGAACGCTGCCCAGTTGGCTTCATACTCACAAGCAAAACAAATTCTTGTCTCTACTGGTGAGTACTGCAGTTTTTCAACTCCTTTAAAGTTGTCTTTGTTACCTTTATCGTCTTCTTTTTTTTTTCTCCCCACTTCCCTTTCTCATTTTCCTCATACTATCTGCTTTTCTCCAGCCTTTTTCTTCATCTCGTTCTTTTCCTTTTCTGTTTTCTTCTCCTTATCTTCATTATTCTTCCTATCTTGCTACCTCTTGTTCTCAGCTTTCTTCATCTTCATTATTCATTCTATCTTTCTACCTCTTGTTCTCAGCTTTTTTTTTTTTTTTTTTCATTGTTCTTTCTGTCTTTCTACCTCTTGTTCTCAGCTTTTTTTTTTCATTGTTCTTTCTGTCTTTCTACATCTTGTTCTCAGCTTTCTTCATCTTCATTTTTTTATTTTATCTTTCTACCTCTTGTTCTCAGCTTTTTTTTTTCATTGTTCTTTCTATCTTTCTACCTCTTGTTCTCAGCTTTTTTTTTTTCATTGTTCTTTCTGTCTTTCTAACTCTTGTTCTCAGCTTTCTTCTTCTTCTTATCTCCTCTTCTTTTTTTTTTTCTTTTTCAAATTATCGTTTTGTATTTAGGTCTCCTTCCGTCTCTTTTTACCATTTTTGGTTCCAGTGCAAGGTCATTTACATTTTTAAAAAAAAAATTAATGAATGTCTTATCCAATGCCAGCATCTTTTCCTCAACTCTTAACTCCCTGTAATTTGTTTAGTTCTTTCCCAAATCTCCACATTAGTGATTCTGTCATATAGTTTGAATCTCTCTGTTCTGTACATGCACCAGTTAGTAAATATTTGTAGTTTATTTGTAACTGGAAATGATACTGCTGAAACACCAGCAGGCTAATATTCAAATATATTCTTGCCCGCTGGCCTGATGGTGTAAGAAGGGGGGGGGGGGGGGTTATATTCCCATTGAGGCAGAATTTAAAAAACTGACGTGAAGTTCTCAGGTTGACCCAGCCTAAAATGGGTGCTAAGAAATGTGTCTTGAGAAGTAAAGGCAGTCAAGATGATATTGACCACTTCATCCCTCAAATGAATACCAGTTGGTTTATACTAGCTAGCACCCTATACCTTATATGCCTCAGAGTGTAGCAAGAAACCTTTACTTCATTAGGAACCTGAAAATGTCTTGGGAATTAAAGGCAGTCAGCATGATAGTGGCCACATTACCCCCTCGAGATCTAGTTGGTTGATATAAATTTGGGGCTCGCACTGTATGCCAGATATGGCTCATTGCAGGGAATGTGATCTTTTCTCTGTTTATCATAAATGTTTAACTAAGAGGAAGCTTGTTCAAAATCAGTGGTGGCCAACCTTTTAAAGTTTGAGGGCTACTTATTATTTCATCAATGGTGGTCTACTTTAGAGACTAGATATAAATAGCTGTCCTCTTTTCCTGTGCTCACCGTTCACCATATCACTCACCTCCATTCATCTCTCAGGTTGGCCTTCTCTTTCCAGTTGGTGACACCAAGTGTTTGCAGGTCTGTCCAGAAATTCTCTCTGCATCCTCTTCTTGTTCTACCTCATGGTCTACGACCATTCATCTCCCTTGTGTATACAGTTTTCACATCTCTGTCATCTGACATTCTCTCAATATTCCCCAACCATTTAGCTATCATGATGCCAGTTATCAATGGTGATTTAAACAGATTATGAATTTTCGGTGTTGCTTCTCACTCTCCATTCACCGCTGTTTGCATCTTTGATGGGTCCAAAGATTCATCATAAGATTATGTTTTCATAAACCTGTAATAAGGCTAAATCTCTTTTAGTTGTGTTCCAGTTTTCAGAGCCATGCCCTGACCTCTATCACTGAGACTTAGTGAAAATTTGACATTAACTGTGACCTCTGTCACTGAGGTTTGTGTGAAAATCTGACATTTACAGTGACCTCTGTCACTGAGGTTTGTGTGAAAATTTTACATTAACAGTGACCTCTGTCACTTAGGCTTGTGTGAAAATTTGACATTAACAGTGACCTCTATCACTGAGGCTTATGTGAAAATTTGACTTCAACTGTGACCTCTGTCACTTAGGCTTGAGTGAAAATTGGACATTAACTGTGACCTCTATCACTGAAGCTTGTGTGAAAATTTCACATTTAACTGTGACCTCTATCACTGAAGCTTGTGTGAAAATTTGACATTTAACTGTGACCTCTATCACTGCGGCTTGTGTGAAAATCTGACATTAACAGTGACCTCTATCACTGCGGCTTGTGTGAAAATCTGACATTAACAGTGACCTCTGTCACTGAGGTTTGTGTGAACATTTTACATTAACAGTGACCTCTGTCACTGAGGTTTGTGTGAAAATTTGACATTAACAGTGACCTCTGTCACTAAGGTTTGTGTGAAAATTTGACATTAACTTTGACCTCTGTCACTGAGGCTTATGTGAAAATTTGACGCATTTGGGGTTATAAGAAAACCCCCATTAATTGATACATTTTTCAAGTTACCGTATTCTGGCCTATTAAACACCGCACAGGCGTACATCGACCAAATGTAATTCAGCCATGCTTTTTGGGAAAAGGTCACTGCAGACATAGCCATATATCGGCTTTCACGGGGACGTGGCACAACTGAACGTGACTAGATTTAGGTTTCTCAGCGTGGAAGGGTTCAAAGAATAGTTGACACATTTTGTAGTTTACAGCTAGCTGAAATATCTGCACCTTTTGGCACAACACATCAGATTTCAGCAAGTCCTTAATTAATCTCTTTTTACAACAAGCTTATTAGGGTGGCAGGGGTCCCCTTCTTCCCTTCCCCCTTAAAATGGGGGAGGCTGTATAGAACAAACCTTATTTTCTAAGGGTCACAAATTGGGCATTCAGGCTATTTTACATTTGGCTTTTCCAAACACCCATATTTCACCCAGCAATTGTATTTTATCAATAAAGCATGTTATGTTCATATAACAATTTGCATGTTATCAATATCAAGAAAAAAATGTAATAAAGAGGACTTTAAAAAAGGAACAAGCAAAATCACAGACTGCAATAGGTTGCCTCTGACAGCTTGAACTAATAGATCACTGTTGACACTTTGGCATTGACTGTTTTAAGTAAGATGTGTATGTGTTTGCTTGTGTCATTATTCATATCAGTGTTTTCTCTCTCTCTGCCAAGAGACCAATGAAGGTAAACTGACAATTCCACTGATACTGACAGTTTTTTTGTTTGTTGATTTGATGTTCACAGTTCTGTAACTTTTGTGTTTGTTTTTAAAGCAGTGTTTAACCCTTGTGACTTTAAATAATGAGTAAATAAACGGTATTTTGTGCAAATTAATGCCCAGTATATTTCACTGCATCTCCTCAGGTGCATACTGCCAAGTAATGAAGCACCTAAATGAATCATATGTCGGCTGAAATACACAAATTGCATAATTCATATTGTTATATTTCCTAAATGGGTCGATGGGCCCCATTTCAGGAGAAATTAAAGGATAGCTCCCCACCCCCAACCCCAAAATAGTTGCGTATCCTTTACAGGGCATTGCAGAACCAACCATAGCATTTATTGGCTGTTGGGTTTTTTCTAGGCAGATTTTATGTTCACTATTTTGCCATTGCTTTCTAAATGGTCAGCTCTCTGGACCACTGTCGAAACCAGCGCAAGACAAATCATCTGCAGCAGGAATCGAACATAGAAACCTGGTATTGCGAAGCACGTTCTCAACGCCTGAGCCACAGACGTCCACTGAGAAGAAAAAACAAACAGTCTGCATACATGTAAGCCATATCTGTAAAACGAATGTGCACTCAAAACTCAAGATCTGGAACAAAACCAAAGTCGGGAACTAGATGACAAGCAGAACATTCTGCCTACGTTTACTCTTGGTGACCGCTAAAAGAAGAAGATATTGTTATTTAATTTAATTTATTTAATTTTTCCTTAATGCCAAAGATGGAGTGATGGCATTAAGAACAGCCTTACAGAAATGAACATCAGTCCTAATAGTGCTCTTGACAGAGCTCATCACCAAACATTACATCTCCACCTGACACTTCACTGAGGTACAAGGTGGAAGAGAAGAAGAAGAATGTTTCCTTGGCAAAATGGTTAAACTATTTTCCTTGCATTTTAGAGGCTGTGGAGTCAGTTATTAACTCTCATTAGTTTTACAAATGCATGTGTTAGCTTTTCACACTGGTGACTTGGAAAAAATCATACCAAAGACCCATTTTTTTTACACCCCCCCCCCCACCCCCACCCCCCCCCCCCCCCAAAGAACAACCATTTACACAGGTCACACACAAAAACTATAACAGTTCCATATTTGGACCAAAACAGTATGTAATATCAGGGCTTCTTGTAAACAAGCCTGTATAGCAAGCCAGGAAAGGAAAAAAAATTTGGGACCATGGCACAAATTGGAAGCACAGAGCTCACTGCTTTATCGAGCTGAGGAGGTTAAGAAGGTCTTGAGTTGTTCCTGGAGCTGTAGAGTTTGTTCAGCGTGTGACCAGCTGCTCTGCTGAAAGAGATAAAGCCATATGGAATAAACACCCATTGCAATGGAGTTGAGCAATTTGCTTTGTAAACATTTCGAACTCTTCACTTGCTGCAGAAGTTGGGGGATGGAGCGCTTTTTGGAGTGTCCCGAGTGCTATGATGTTGATTCTTAATTCAACATTTTGTAAACATTGTCACATTTTCAGGATGTTTGGAAGAGAAAACCAGCCTCAGTATAATAGAGTATCAAATTTTTTTTATCTAGCATATATGGCAGACACTGCCACTCCTGCATGAGATTTTGTAGACACATAGCAGACAAAGATCCCAAAACCAGCAGCACAGCTCCATTGTCCCTAGAGACTGACGGCTGTCTGCTACTTAGTAAAGAGGGCTACAGTATAGAGGGCTACTTAGTATAGAGGGCTACTTAGTATAGAGGGCTGCTTAGTATAGAGGGCTGCTTAGTATAGAGGGCTGCTTAGTATAGAGGGCTGCTTAGTATAGAGGGCTGCTTAGTATAGAGGGCTACTTAGTATAGAGGGCTGCTTAGTATAGAGGGCTACTTAGTATAGAGGGCTGCTTAGTATAGAGGGCTGCTTAGTATAGAGGGCTGCTTAGTATAGAGGGCTACTTAGTATAGAGGGCTGCTTAGTATAGAGGGCTGCTTAGTATAGAGGGCTGCTTAGTACAGAGGGCTGCTTAGTACAGAGGGCTGCTTAGTATAGAGGGCTGCTTAGTATAGAGGGCTGCTTAGTATAGAGGGCTGCTTAGTATAGAGGGCTGCTTAGTATAGAGGGCTGCTTGGTATAGAGGGCTGCTTGGTATAGAGGGCTGCTTAGTATAGAGGGCTGCTTAATATAGAGGGCTACTTAATATAGAGGGCTACTTAGTATAGAGGGCTGCCTAATATAGAGGGCTACTTAGTACAGAGGGAAAAGATCCTAGGATAATTATGTATATAGGGAGCTAGTTTTATAGCAGTATGTTAAAACTAGTTCTATGTACCAAGATTAAATATGAATTCTTTTATTTATATAACATTCACTGACTGGTTTATTGAATGAGATGTTTTTATAAAATGCATTTCACTCATCCTGTTTCGTTTCTGTCTTATGTCTTCACTCTGGAAGGTCAGTGCCTGCTCTAAAAAGGGGATGTTTTGCAGACACTTTTTCTGTCCTCTAGAAAAAAAAAAGGTAGATGCAAATGACCTGGGAAATCTGGAGAACAGTAGAAAATTAAGTAAAGGAAAGTAAACCAGCATGAGATACCATGAGCAGACAAGCAGCAGACTGGCAGTACTGGCGATCACTTGTGAATGCCTTTTGTCCTAACAGTGACCTATTTTTTTAAATACACTTCTTTCCCATAGTGTCCTTTCCATCTCTTTTAGACCTGTCACTGTTTTAGTCTTTGATTCTTGAGATAGAGGATGGTTAAAGTTAACTGAGCGATAGTTACCCACCTTCTCTCACTCTGTCCACTTTTCTGTTGTCAAGACATCACCGCATTCACCAACTGTAAACTCCTGTGGAAAGTTCTAGTTCTTCGTCCACTTCTGGGCTTTGATCTTGTTCCAGAACTTGTGTTTCTTGTGTACATCTGTTTTACAGATGTGACTTATTTGTCTAGAGACTATTGGTTCCTCGCCTCTTAGGCAGCTGCAGTTTGACTTCAGAAGAAAAACCGTAATTTGTTTTTAACACTCTTGTTTGGAGGGCAAAGGTCTACCCCCCTTCCCATCAACCCACCCCCTCCCCACCCCCTCTCACCATCTCCTCCCAGTAGGACCCCAGAACTCATAAAGGAAATGGCATCTTTTTTTCCCTTTCTCATGACATGCTCAGAAAATCATTATCATATGCTTCTGTTGCAGGCAACTAGTTTTCTTAGGGATTGACTTTCTTTCAAGAAATCATTTTTTTTTTTTTTAATCTTTTCATTGTTTTCTGCATCTTTTTAAGTTTCTCATAATTTTAAACTAATCAACTGACTAACAATATTCTGTACAGTTTATTTCCTGGAACATTTCACTGTTTCTTGTCAAGTGCAACTCACCTAATTCACATCAACATGTAAAGAAACAGAAGGCATGAATCATTTCAACTAAAAATCAAATCAAATGGCCTGTTATTAAGCTGTACATCTCATCATTGAAATCTGTTTATTGTTCTAATTAATGCGGGATTGTCCACTATTATTTTTCATACTAAAAAGATTGTCCCTATAAAGCTCTGGATAACTCATCTCTATAAAGCTCTTCAGAACTCTTTTTCTTACCTTTTTTTACCTATTGTGACAATGGACTGCAATTCTAGTGGCAGACTGTTTGTGTTGGTACTTCTGACACAGCTGCCTTATGCATTTAATGCATGTGTATGCTATTAGCTTTGCCAAGACTGCCATCTGTTTCACTAGGAGCAATAAAGGGAATTTTTTTTTTTTGGCTTTCTTTCATGCTGGCACTGAAACAGAGCAAGCAATTATGGGGTGAGCCATTTACATTCAGTTGCTGACTGCATTTATATCACAGTCTTAAGATCACGAACGTTTGTCATCAGATTGGAAACGACTGTAACCTGATTACCAGATAGATGGCACGGAATATTCTTCATCCAGTTTTATCTCGTGTTTGATCCCCAGGTTATTTCAGAGATGGCCTGTTTCTCCACTTTGTGGCCAGCATGATCAGTGGTCTCATCACAACTGCAGCCTCCATGCCTGTGGACATTGCTAAAACCAGGTGAGTCAGCCAGTAGCTGTTTCTGGTGGACATTGCTAAAACCAGGTGAGTCCTCCAATAGCTGTTTCTGGTGGACATTGCTAAAACCAGGTGAGTCAGCCAGTAGCTGTTTCTGGTGGACATTGCTAAAACCAGGTGAGTCCTTCAGTAGCTGTTTCTGGTGGACATTGCTAAAACCAGGTGAGTCCTTCAGTAGCTGTTTCTGGTGGACATTGCTAAAACCAGGTGAGTCAGCCAGTAGCTGTTTCTGGTGGACATTGCTAAAACCAGGTGAGTCAGCCAGTAGCTGTTTCTGGTGGACATTGCTAAAACCAGGTGAGTCAGCCAGTAGCTGTTTCTGGTGGACATTGCTAAAACCAGGTGAGTCCTCCAGTAGCTGTTTCTGGTGGACATTGCTAAAATCAGGTGAGTCAGCCAGTAGCTGTTTCTGGACAGAACTTTACCTCCATGTAAAGGCAGCAGAACAAGCAGCCACACGTGCAGTAATTGAATCAAATTCCTTGGATATGCTTCAGAAAATTTACTATTATAGTCAGCGCTCTGAATGGGTAAAAAGCTTTTGGAAATCACACTTCCCTCACCTGGATCTAAACACCTGGCTATAAATATGCACACCAGCAGGTAAGTAATGCAGCACTGCATGTGGGAAGAAGCATGGACAGAGCTGGAATCATTGTCGTTGTACAGTCTAAGCTGTTGGGTAATAATGAATTTCCCACGCTGACACCATTACATGATCTGGAAATAGAGCTTGGTGAAGCACAAGAAGTTAAGAATAGGTGACATTACAGCCAACTTGCCATTGTACCTTAGAGTTGCTGTGGCATTCAAGGATGCTGGGAAAGCCCAGTGTGCAGTAACGTCAATTGTGATAACATAACCTCCATGTGTCTTTTAGTAGTTTTCTCTATCATAGCATGATCCACCACTAGAAAAACTTGAGACCAGCTCATTCTGGACCCGAACCCACAACATTCTGATCCACATGTGAGCATCTAGCTGCTACACCATGGCGACTTCCCATATGGCTGTAGATTGTGAAAGAAAACCTGAATTTTTTAATTTTTTTTTTTTTTTACATAGCGTAACTATCGACCATTTGAATAGCATGCGATTGTGGCAGACAGCGCAGTAAACTGTCATTTTGTTTGTGCGCACAGTGTTATAATGTGTCATTTTTAATAGAGCGTATGGTGTAAAGTGTCATTTAGGGATGCACATGATGCTGCAAAGTGTTGACCTGATAGTGCACGTCAGAGTTATAAAGCCAGGCTACTCAATTGGTGACCCACAGAGGCCTAGCAATTGGCTCACAGATCATTGTTTGTATTGTGTTAATGATCTTTCTAGGCTGGGGCTCAGGTGTCTAGCCTGTGATGCTCCCTATTTTTAACATTTTGACCCATGAGTAAACTTGGTTGAATATCCCTGTTGTAAATCCCTGTTGCGCATAGATCATTACGGTCTGAGGAGAATGGTGCTGCGAAGAGTTAACAGGGGATCTGGCCGATGCTCAACACTCAGAGGAAGGATGAGAAGAATATACAGTCAGACGGTCACTGGTGCCATCGGAATTTGAACTTTTTGCTTGCTGCTGAAGATGGGGACGAAGCACTTATGGGAGTATCCTGAGTGCTATAATGTTGATTCCTAATTCAACATTCAACATTCCCTGTTGTAAAGTGCCATTTTGATAGTGCTTGTGAAATTGTAAAGTGTAATTTGATCTTTCTCTCTCTCTCTCTCTCTCTCTCTCTCTCTCTCTCTCTCTCTCTCTCTCTCTCTCTCTCTCTCTCTCTCTCTCTCTCTCTCTCTCTCTCTCTCTCTCTCTCTCATACACACACACACTTATGTAAAGTGCCATTTTGTATTGTGCCTATTTTGTAAAGTCATTTTTGATATTTTCTTCCACAGAATACAGAACATGAAAACTATCAATGGGAAACCAGAGTATTCTGGAGCTCTTGTGAGTAGCATGAGGATTATGTTAATGTTACTTTTTTCCTATTTGCTCTGTGTTATGTTATGCTGTTATGTTTCGTAAATATATTTATATTTTGTTATGTTACTATAAGTTATCACTGCTCCATGTGGACACATCTGCTAGAGTTGCCACGATGCTGTTCATGGTGTTTTCTGTTGTAAAATGCTTTGAAGCCAGTAAACTATTTCTTCACTGCTGAGTTTTGTTTCTTACAGAGTGATGTCGGCTGCGTATATTAAACGGTCAAGAATTGGTCGCCACTGTTTTAGACTGGCACAGTTCCTAAAAATAATTTATGTATGAGCCCAATCCTTTCACACTTTCACACTTGTCACACCGGTGCGAGCTTGCATTCCTCTGTTTTGGGTCATCTGCTATTACCACACGTGACACCTGACGCTTACATAAGAGGATCTTAGCACAATGCAGGTAGCTCCGTAGCATCAGTGAGGATCCAGCAGACAAAAAAAAAACCTCAGAAAATCACTCCATGTCAGTAAAAAACCTACAGAATCAATTTGTTGTGGTAAACGGCGGTGGCCTCACCCCCCATCTTGCCTGACATCCTCGTTGCTCTCAACTTCCTGAGGTGAAATGGACAGAGAATTACAAAACAGATACTGAAATGGGAAAATAAGTGGATGGAAGAAGTGAGAATGCCCAAGAGAAACTTTATAATGAACGTTGATGTTGAGGTCAAAGGTGTCATCAGGGGTTTTGAAAGGATTGTGTAGAATAGAATTGAGGAATAAGCTGCTAGATCTGGGTCACATAAATAGCACATTGAGATGATGATGATGATGGTTGCATTTGTTCTTGGTATGTCTTTATTTGTTTGTCATTCTTTACTACTACATTATTTACTTTACTACATTATTACTACTGTATGCTATGAGTCCACATTTAAATATGTGTACTACTCTTTCTCTTAGAATTATTGTATTTTTCAATGTTTAAGGCAATATGCCTTTGGAAATTGATGAACATTAAAAGGGATGCATTTTTAAAAACAAGAAAAAAAAAAGAAATGTCTGGACAACCATTTGTTGAGAGAGAATGGAGACGGGTGACATCTTCAGCAATAAACCTCAAGGGCTGAGAATGCTGAAGAAGAAGATAAGGCGATACGTTATCCCAAATATTTCAAGTTTAGAATTGTGGAAATGTTTTTAAAATATTTATTTCTCAATTCTGAGCTTAAAAAATAGTAGTTGTCTCATACATAATGGTGTCTTAATCACGGAAAAGTATGGTACATTCTGTGCTTTTCTCTGCTCTGACACTAATACTTCCTTTCTCAGGACGTCTTGACTAAAACTGTAAGACAAGAAGGATTTTTCAGTCTGTGGAAAGGATTCACGCCGTACTATGCTCGACTGGGGCCCCACACTGTGCTGACCTTTATCTTCCTGGAGCAGATGAATCAGGCGTACCGCCACTATGTATTGCATGACGACTCCGCTGGTGGCGGCTTGTAGTAGAGTAATTGATGTATAAGTACATAGTTACACCTCTAGGATGTAAAAAATATTGTTGCCTCTCTCTGAAAGTAAAGTATATTGTTAATTCTAGGAATGTAACATGTTTTAAACAACTTTCCGACTGGTAGACTGTGTCTACAATTAGAGCTAAATATAATTGCAATAACATTTAGATGGTTAAATATCTTGTTAAAACATCAGTACAGTACAATATATTGTTACGACTCATGGACAGTAAAATATATTGTTACCATTCTTGAACAGTAAAATATATTGTTACCACTCTTGGACAGCAAAATATATTGTTACGGCTCTTGGACAGTAAAATATATGTTAGCACTCTTGGACAGTACAATATATTGTTACGACTCTTGGACAGTAAAATATATTGTTACCATTCTTGGACAGTAAAATATATTGTTACCACTCTTGGACAGCAAAATATATTGTTACGGCTCTTGGACAGTAAAATATATGTTAGCACTCTTGGACAGTACAATATATTGTTACAACTCTTGGACAGTACAAAATATTGTTACCACTCTGGGATAGTAAAATATATTGTTACCACTCTTGGACAGGAAAATATATTGTTAACACTCTTGGACAGTAAAATATATTGTTACCACTCTTGGATAGTAAAATATATTGTTACCACTCTGGGATAGTAAAATATATTGTTACTGCTCTTGGACAGTAAAATATATTTTACCACTCTTGGATAGTAAAATATATTGTTACAACTCTTGGACAGTAAAATAAATGTTACCACACCATAAAAGTAATAATTTTCAACATCTTCAGGGCAGTAGACTGTTTTTACAAAACTAAGATTGTAAACCTGTTTCTTACGAAACTGGGATAGTAAAATATTTTGCTGCAAATCTGGGACAAGTAGATCCTTAAGGTTTATACTATTGTTTGTTTGTGTACCTTGTTAATTGACTTGTGGATGGTCGAATGTCATGTCTATGGCTGTTTAGAAATTATATTGCCAGTTTGTTTATATTTTTTTTTTGGTTAACTTTAAAAAAAAAGTATAGGCCAGTTATGGATTTTTCAGACAGTTGAGTCCTTCTGTCTAATGAATGTTTGGGAAAAAAACAAATTCCACTGAATCAGGAAGTGAGGAAAAGACGCTGGCACAGGAAAGTTTATTCATTGATAGATAACACTTGACAGTAAAATAACTAGAATGTAAATTCTATGGACACCACAGAGCAAAAGTAGCAACTTTTTTTTCTTTTCAAATTGCTTGATTTCTTTGCTAGTTAGAATTTTATAATGTTTTCAGATTATTATTTTTTTAGGTTTTTTTTTTTTTCTATCTTTAAGTGTCTTCATTTTCAGTTTAGTTACTACAGAGTAAGTCTGTTTATTTTTCATACGTTGTGTTCTGTAACATATATTCTAACTATTAACATTGGCATTATATTAGTTGTGTCTCTTGCATAGTGGACTATCCCCATGTGGCTTCAGGCAGAGCTCCACTTTAGCTGAAAAGGATTAGACCCACTACCTCTTAACAAGCATGTCATAATAGGCAACAGATAAAGTTTTTTCCCTGAAATCAGACATGTTGGGTTAAAAGGTGCAGATACTGCAGCCTAGCTGTAAACCAACCATCCTTTTAAGGGTAGAACAGAAAGAGTCAACTAGTTTACAAATATAAATTCTATATTTTTTGAACTTGTAATGAGAAGGAGAAAAATAGAGTACATTGTGATGATGGGAAAGTTAGGAAAAGAAGCAGAGGATGACTGAGATGGACAGGTAAATAGTCTGCTATTTGATGAATGCACTAACTAGTGAATGTGTTGTTGAAACAGTTTACATAAAGAACTCAATTCTGGTAGTTATATATGTATGTCACATGAGCTTACAGGACTAGTACACGTGTGTTTTTGTTGGGGCTGATTGCCTTGCTTGTAAGAACTTTAGATCTTCCAATTTAATTTTGTTTTCAGTTTTCTTAATCTTTTAGTTTTTTCTTTTTTTTTATTTCCACCATATTCAGTTGACTGGATTTACAACATTAGTTTGACTCAGTAGTGAGCCATGCTTTTTTGTTTGTTTGTTAGATCCCATTGCTGTCAGTTTTGTCAAGTGTCATACATAGTGAATACCTGTAACATAGTGAATACCTGTAACATAGTGAATACCTGTAACATAGTGAATACCTGTAACATAGTGAATACCTGTAACATAGTGAATACCTGTAACATAGTGAATACCTGTAACATAGTGAATACCTGTAACATAGTGAACAGCACAAAGAATAGGAGTTGTGGAGGGTGGTGACCACCTGACATTTTAAAAAGGTCAGCTGGGATGACAGGGGTCACTTTTCAGAGCTTTGAACTTGGCGTGCATTTTTTTAATGGAGTTGGAATTTCTTTTTGTGCCTGTAGAGTGTGGCAGTTTTGAGGGGTGTTTGATACTTTTGCGTTATATCACTATTGTTATATGACTTTACACAGGCAGGTATTAGGTTATTGTTTCATATGAGTAGTATAGATTTTTTTCAAAGACCAAAATATTTCACTGCAACTCACAGGGTCAAAGGAACAAAGACAGACAGCCCCCTCCACCCCAAAGAATTAGTGAGGCAAAAATAAATGTGGAAATCATGGAATGAGCCTGATGCTGTTGTAAAAGATAGCACGACTTGATGCAAATCAGTTGAAGGCCTATGCTCCATTGGGGGATAGAGGGCAGAAGACGTGATGTAGAGTTGGAAAAAACTAAAGACGGGGAATGAAGTTAACTTCATTTTTTTTTTTAAACATTGCCTGACTAAATCAATAAACAATAAATGGGATGATTTCAAGAAAAGTGAAAAAATCAGAAACAGGCTTCGATAAAAGCTGGTATCAACAGTTATTAGACATAGGCAAAATTAGGCATATCCTGAGAAAGTGGGCATAAATCATCCAACAGGTCCTGAAATGGGAAAGAAATGGATTGAGAAGTTTCCCAACTGGGTTCTGGGAGGGGAGGTTGGAATAGACCCACTGACTCCTAACAAGTTTGTCATAAAGTCAGCTAATTTAATTCTAGGTCAGACTGCATCCGGCTGAGAGGCAAGGAACCAGCAGTCTGCATATATATCAACTAGATCTGTAAAACGATTGTGTATGTGAAACACACATTCTGGAACAAGGCTAAAGTTCAGGAGTGGACAGTCAACCAGGACTTTCTGCCAGAGTTTACAGCTGGTGAACACATAGAAGAAGAAGAAGGTGAGGACACATCTAAGAGAGAAACCCTTAACTGAGCGTTGTTGAGAGTGACCAAAGCTACTAGACTGGATTCTATCCATTGGATTGATAAAGCTGCACAATGAAGAATGGAATGGGGGATGTGATGGCAGGCTCGGTGTGATACATAAATGACCTAATGTGATGAGTAAATATAGCCAGGATTGTAGAGAGGCATGACCACCTGCTTCAGCTAGCTTGACTTTTGAAGAAGAATTTTTGTGACAGTGGTAATTATTTTTCAGCACTGAATTTGGTGTGAATTCCAAGCAGTTTAGTAATGTCGCTATGATTTGAAACAACAGGGGAGTTTGTTTTTTTTCAACTCTTACTATTTCAAATTCGATGTGTGATGAACTAATATTGTCAGTGTGCTTCAAGCAGTGCCTGATGTGTTTGTTTAAGCAAGGTATGACCTCATATATTATGGTTTGAACTGAAAGACCTAGCAGTGTAGACCCCAATGCCCATATCTGCTACAGGTCAGCCATTTTGTGTTTTTGTTAACATGTGTTGCCAGTTTGGTTCATCGACTTAATTATATTATGAGAAGGCAAAATTTTATATTCTTTGGTCCTGTAATGAGAAGGAAAAAAGTGGAGTACATTGTGACAGTGGGAAAGCCGGAGGGGAAAAGAAGCAGAAGGAGATCGAGAAGAATGGTGCTGGTCAGTTTGACATCATGGCATAGAAGTTCATTGTGACTTAAATTATTTGACAGCGTGTACTATAATATGAGAAAGAATTATATTATTGATGATATATACTGTAACTTCTATAGTTTCTAGGGATCATCACTGCAGCTGTGAAATTTGTGCCTAGCGTGATGCTTTCAGCAGACAGCTGGCTACTTTGTAAAGAGGAACAGTGCCAAGTGGTATAAAACTCAGGGCAATTAACTCAAACTTCTCACCTTTCAGTTACCTCTTCCTCCTCCTCCTCCTCCTCCTCCTCCTCCCCCCTTTTCAGCAGTTTGAGCCCTTGAGATGCATTGCTGCACATATAACCTGCCTGCCTTTTCTCACTGGTGTTCTCTTTCCTGTTGGTCTCTCCAAGCATTTGTAAATCTGCACAGATATTATCTATCCACTGTCTTCTTGGTCTGCCTCGTGGTCTACTTGTATTGAGTTTTTTCATGTACACAGTTTTTGTCTCTGTTATTTTCCATTCTCTCTCTCTGCCCTAACTATCACAGTCTATTGCGTTTATAAAACCAGTAATTAATGGCAATTTAAAAATTATAAATTCTTGTGTAGCTTCTCACACTTCTTACTTTAATTAATGATGTCATAACATTTGTTTATAATATTTAAAAAATTGTGTATCTTGATTGGCATATCAGTATCTGAGGTTCAAAGGTTAAAAACATATTTCATAAATTTTATTTTTACCGTCCATATTTTTCACTTATATTTAATATTGTTCAGTCTTGTTCAGACTTAAAGGAAGCACAATTCTAACTAGCAGCAGATTTTTCCAGCAATATGGGTTTTTATAAATTGCAAATTTGATCTGTTAATTCCATGCTTGAGGCACAAAACAATTAGGCAGTGGAAGTCAACTTACAGGCTACTTGGTCACTTTAAACAGTACATATATTTGTAATCAGTTTTACTGTTGCTTCATTTAACCAGGTTCTTGCATGCTAGTGCATTTTTAAATTATTCTTTGCTTAAATTGTTGTAGGGAGTCACCTTGGCAAGACGCTCGCCTGCAGATCGGAAGGTTGTGGGTTCA